GATTAATTTTGGGGAAAAACAAATAAAAGGACTTATGAGCTTATAAAAATGAAAGGACTTATTGAGCAAAAGAAATTGAATGTCTTATATATGGAGCGATTAATTTTGAAAAAATGAATTGAGCAATACAAATGAAAGGTCTTTTTATGGAGTGATTAATTTTGAAAAAAAATATTGAACAAAACAAATGAAAGGTCTTTTGAGATTTTAAAAATGAGAGGACAAATTTAGCAAAACAAATTGAAGGACTTTGGAGCTTTAAAAAATGAAAGGACATATTGAACAAAACAAATTGAACGTCTTATGTATGGAGTGATTAATTTTGAAAAAAAATATTGAACAAAACAAATGAAAGGTCTTATGAAATTTTAAAAATGAAAAGACAAATTGAGCAAAAAAAATGAAAGGACTTTGGAGCTTTTAAAAATGAAAAACAAATCAAAAGGTCTTAAAAAGCATTTAAAAATTAAAGGCCATGTTGATCAATACAAAAGAAAGGTCTTTGCGCTTTCAGATATTAAAGTACAAATTGAGCAATACAAATGAAAGGTCTAATGAGCTTTTGAAAATGAAAGGACAAATTGTCCAATATGAATGAAAGGTCTTTGGAGCTTTTTAAATGAAAGGACATATTGAGCAAAACAAATTAAAGGAAGGTCTTATGAATCGATTAATTTTGGGAAAAAACCATTTAGCAATACAAATGAAAGGTCTAATGAGCTTTTAAAAAATGAAAGGACTTCAGAGCTTTTAAAATCTAAAGGACATATTGAACAAAACAAATTAAAGGTCTTATGGAGCGATTTATTTTGAAAGAATAAATTGAGCAATACAAATGAAAGGTCTAATGAGCTTTTAAAAATGAAAGGACAAATTGAGCAAAACAAAGTAAAGGTCTTGTCGAGCAATTAATTTTGAAAAAGTATATTGAGCAATACAAATGAAAGGTCTGATGAGGTTTTAAAAATGAAAGGATAAACTGAGCAATATGAATAAAAGGTCTTTGGAGCTTTTAAAATGAAAGGACATCTAACTCAAATTAAGTTAAAGGTCTTATGGAGCAATTAATTTTAAAAAACCATATTAGGCAAAACAAATCAAAAGGGTCTTATGAGCTTTTTAAAATGAAAGGACAAATTGAGCAATATAAATTAAAGGTCTATGAGTTTTAAAAATGAACGGACCAATTGAGCAGTATAAATGAAAGGTCTTTGGAGCTTTAAAAATGAAAGGAAATCTTAAGCAAAACAAAAAGAAGGTCTTTTGGAGTGAATAGTTTTGAAAAAAAAAACCTTAAAAGCAAATTAAATTAAAGGCCTTATGGAGCGATTCATTTTGAAAACATTAAAAGCAAAACAATTGAAAGGTATTATGAGCTGTTAAAATTAAAGTCCAAATTGAGCAATACAAATGAAAGGTCTTTGGAGCTTTTAAATATAAGCTTTTTGAACTGTTTTGTGCGTAGATAATACGTATTTTTGCAATGCGAAATGTTTTGTTTTCTTTTTGCAAAAATATTCTTGACTTTGCTGTTATGAATTGTATTAAATTTTTCTTACAGAATGGACAATAAAGTTTAGATATAAAAGGACTTATCAATTTTAAAAAGAATGTTAGAAACAGCTTTTAGATGATTCATTATGAGAGGGCTTTTTATTTCTAAATTGAAAGGTCTTATAAGCTTATTGTGTTGTGAATAATGAAATGAAAGGACTTAAACTATTTAATATAAAAGGACTATATGAGCATTTTTTCTTAGCAGCAAAGCTCTCTTGTTCATAAAACATGTTTTTAATATTCTGTCGTTAGTCATCTGTAGTGGGATATGCAGCATCTTCAATATTATCAATATGTTTCATTTTATTTTTCTTGGATTATAACATTTTTAATGCTCCCCACGGCAACAACTAAAAATGTTCAATTGTTGAGTATTGAACAAAACATTTCGCAAAAATAATTGAAATGGTCTTATAGAGCGATTAATTAAAAAGAATAAATTGAGCAATACAAATGAAAGGTCTTTGGAGTTTTTAAAAATGAAAGGACAAATTGAGCAAAACGAATGAAAGGGCTTTTGAGGTATTAAAAATGAAAGGACATATTAAGCAAAACAAATTGAACGTGTCATATATGGAGCGACTAATTTTGAAAGAATAAATTGAGCAATACAAATGAAAGGTCTTTGGAGCTTTTAAATATTCAACCTTTTTGAACTGTTTTGTGCGTAAAAATACATATTCTTTCAATGCGAAATGGTTTGTATTCTTTTTATAAAAGTATTCTTGACTTTGCTGTTAGAAACAGCTTTTAGATGATTCATTATAAGAACGGCTTTTTATTTCTAAATTGAAAGGTCTTATGAGCTTTTTGTGAATGAAATGAAAGGACTTAATCTATTAAAGATAAAAGGACTATATAAGCATTTCTTCAATATTATCAATATGTTTTATTTTATTTTTCTTGGATTATAACATTTTTAATGCTCCCCACGGCAACAACTAAAAATGTTCAATTGTCGAGTATTGAACAAAACATTTCGCAAAAGTAATTGAAATGGTTAAAACTTTGTAAAAGTTATAAAAAGGACTGTTTGAGCTTTTTAATTTGAAAGGACATATTCAACAATACAAATGAAAGATTCAATTAACTTTTGAAAATGAAAGGACACATCGAGCAATACAAATGAAAGGTGCTTTTAATAATGAAAGGACATATTGAGCAAATCAAATTAAAGGTCTTATGGATCGATTAATTTTGGAAAAAAATACATTAAGCAAAACAAATGAAAGGTGTAATGAGCTTTAGAAAATGAAAGGACAAATTGAACAATATGAATGAAAGGTCTCATGAGCTTTTAAAAAATGAAAGGACTGTATATGAAAGGACCCTTGAGAAATACAAATGAAAGAACTTCTAAGCTTTTGAAAATTAAAGGACATGTTGTGCAAAACAAATTAAAGGTCTTATGGAGCGATTTATTTTTAAGAATAAATTGAGCAATACAAATGAAAGGTCTAATTAGCTTTTAAAAATAAAAAGGACAAATTGAGCAATACAAAATAAAGGTCTTTGGAGCTTTTAAAATGAAAGGACATATTGAGCAATCCAGTAAACGTCTTATTATGCTTTTACATATCAAAGTACACTTTAAAGCAATACAAATGATAGGTCTTTGGAGTGATTAAATTTAAAAAAACATATTGAGCATAACAAATGAAAGATCTTATGAGCTTTTAAAAATGAAAGGACATGTTGAGCAAAACAAATTGAAGGTCTTATTGAGCGATTAATTTTGGAAAACATAATGAGCAAAACAAATGTAAAGGTATTAAGAGCATTTAAAAATGAGAGGATATGTTGAGCAATACAAATGAAAGGTCTTTACGCTTTCACATATTAAAGTACAAATTGAGCAATACAAATGAAAGGTCTCTTGAGCTTTTGAAAATGAAAGGACAAATTGACCAATATGAATTATAGGTCTTTGGAGCTTTTAAAAAATGAAAGGACTGTTAAGAAATACAAATAAAAGGACTTCTAAGTTTTTGAAAATTAAAGGACATGTTGTGCAAAACAAAATAAAGGTCTTATGGAGCGATTTATTTTGAAAAATATAATGAGCAATACAAATGAAAGGTCTGATGAGCTTTTGAAAATGAAAGGACATACTGAGCAATACAGTTTATGTCCTCGCATGCTTTTACATATTAAAGTACAAATTGAGCAATACAAATTAAAGATCTAAGAGATTTTAAAAATAAAAAGGACCAATTGAGCAGTATGAATGAAAGGTCTTTGGAGCTTTAAAAATGGAAGGACATCTTAAGCAAAACAAAATGAAGGTCTTATAGAGCGAATAGTTTTGAAAACATAAAAAGCAAAACAATTAAAAATTATTATGAGCTTTTAAAATTAAAGTATAACTTGAGCAATACAAATGAAAGGTCTTAATTTTATTTTTCTTGGATTATAACATTTTTAATGCTCCCCACGGCAACAACTAAAAATGTTCAATTGTTGAGTATTGAACAAAACATTTCGCAAAAATAATTGAAATGGTCTTATTGAGCGATTAATTTTGAAAAACATATTGAGCAATACAAATAAAAGGTCTTTGAAGTTTTAAACAATGAAAGGACAAAATGAGCAAAACGAATGAATGGTCTTTTTAAAATTGAAATGACAGATTGAGCAATACAAATAAAAAGTCTTATAGAGCGATTAATTTAAAAGAATAAATTTAGCAATGCAAAAGAAAGGTCTACTTATGCTTTCATATGAAAGTACATATTGAGCAATACAAATGAAAGGTCTTGGGAGCTTTAAATAATGAAAGGACATATTGAGCAAAACAAATTAAAGGTCTTATAGATCGATTTATTTTGGGATAAAAATCATTAAGCAATACAAATGAAAGTAATGAAAGGTCTAATGAGCTTTTAAAAAATGAAAGGACATGTTAACAAATACAAATAAAAGGACTTTTTGAAAATTAAAGGACTTTTTTTGCAAAACCAATTAAAGGATTTATTTTGAAAAAATATAATGAACAATACAAATGAAAGGTCTGATGAGCTTTTGAAATTGAAAGGACAAATTGAGCAATACAGTTAATGTCCTCACATGCTTTTAAATATTAGGCAAAACAAATAAAAAAGTTCTTATGAGCTTTAAAAATGAAAGGACATATTGAGCAATACAGTTAATGTCTTCGCATGCTTTTACTTATTAAAGTTCAAATTGAGCAATACAAATTAAAGATCTATGAGTTTTAAAAATGAAAGGACCAATTGAGCAGTATGAATGAAAGGTCTTTGGAGCAAAACAAATTTAAGTTTTATGGAGCAATTAATTTTAAAAGATGAAAGGTCTAACTGAGCTCTAAAAGGTGAATTTAGAATTGTTGAGTTTAAAAAAAGTGATTTTCGCTTTAGAATAATGAAATTTTCTTGAACCTTTGAAAAATAAAAGGACATTTTTAACAATTTTAACAATTAAAATGAATGGAACTGACTTTTTTTTCATAAAATATTAAAGGACTTGTGAGCAATAATTCAACTGAGAGTTTAATGAGATGAAATAAATTGTTTGCCTTCAGAAAACTGACTTTTATGGAGCAATTAGAATGAAAAATTTTATTGAGCTTTTGAGTATGAAAAGACATTTGAGTAAAACTAATAAAATATCTGCTTGTAGATATGAAAGTACTTTTAAGCAAGCATGAATGAAAGGCTTTTTAAAAATATAGAATTAAAGTGATAGAATATGATTATTGTAATTAATATAAACATATATTTAGGTTTAACTGAAAATGAATTGCTTTTGATGCCTGGAACTCTTTAGTCTTTAAAATTGAAATGACTTGTTAAGTTCCATAAAATGAAATGGACTATTTGAGCAATATTTTATATATTGAGCCTTTAAATATGGAAGGACAGTATGAGCAACATTAAAGGACTTAGATCTGTAAAGGTGATAGGACTTTTAGATCAATCAAAATGAGAGGTCTACCTGAGCTTAAAAAGGTGATTTTAGACTTATTGAGTTAAAAGAAAAGTGATTTTTTGCTTTAAAAAATGAATTTTTTTGAGCCTTTGAAAAATGAAAATACATTTTGAACAATTAAAATAAATGGGGATTTTTGATAAAGAAAAGGACTTCTTGACTTTTTCATCCAAGAAATATGAAAGGAACTTTCAGAGCAATACAACTGAAAGTTGTTCCTGAACTTTAAAAAATTGAATGATATGTTAAGTTTAATGAGATAAAATAAATTGTTTGCCTTTAAAAATAGACTGTTTTCGAGCAAATAAAAGAAATATAATATGAAAGATTATTTTTAATTTCATAAACATTTATTTAGGTTTAACTGGAAATTAATCGCTATTGATGGCCTGGAACTCTTATAATCTTACAATTTGGAGGTAAAGAATTATTATTTTACTAGGGTGCTTAGCAAAGGAAATAAGCATTTATGAATTCGATAAATAAAACAGAATACATTCTCTGTTCACTTTAGTCACTGCTGAACACCTTTTTGTGGAGATTTTATTTTTATCATAGATTTCTATATAGAAAGATATTAAAGAATCTTAAAGTCGTTTTTCGCAAACCATAGATTGTAAAAACCTAATTTCATGTTTCTATATATTAAGGTTGATAAAAACGACCCAGCAGAGTAACGGACTTGCAGAAGGGGAGCACCAACGTCCACTTCTCTATGCAGAACCCAACAGAGAATACCTGGGATAAGATAACGGTATAAAAAAATAATAAGGGGAAAGTCTTTTCGGAGTTGTACATGGAACACAAACAATCTATTAAGATTTATAGACGAAATTAACTGATACAAAAATATTTTACTGGAAAAAACGAACAAAACCTTTAGAAAAAAATAATAAAATTGGTAAAAAATTTGAAAAATTATTAATTATAAATCTTCCTCGCGGAGTAGAGTTTCAAGCCTTTTTTCGCGTAAAATCATAAACATTTTCCGCATAGGAATTAATATTTAATCCCCAGTAGGTTTCTTCCTCCCAATATTTCTCTTGAAAAAAATGGGAGTTTTTTTCTCTTAAAAATAAACGTTTCTATTTTTCTTGTAAAAATCTTGAAATATTCCAACGTATGACATCAAAGTTACTCTTTCGTAATAGTCAAATTTTTATTTTTAATAAAACTATGATTTTAAAATGTTAATTTGTCGAGGAAGTCTAGGTCGAGGTAGTCGTAAGTCATCCGATTTGTCCTGGAAGTCTAGGTCGTCAGTTCTGTTGAGGTAGTCTAGGCTGTCAGTTCTGTTGAGGTAGTCTAGGCTGTCAGTTCTGTTGAGGTAGTCTAGGCTGTCAGTTCTGTTGAGGTAGTCTAGGTCGTCAGTTCTGTTGAGGTAGTCTAGGCTGTCATTTCTGTCGAGGAAGTGTAGGCTATCATTTCTGTCGAGGAAGTCTAGGTCGCCGGTTCTGTCGTGGAAGTCTTTGTTGTCAGTTCTGTCGAGTTAGTCTAGGTCGTCAGTTCTGTCGTGGAAGTCCAGGTCGTCAGTTCTGTTGAGGTAGTCTAGGTCGTCAGTTCTGTCGTAGAAGTCTAGGTCGCCAGTACTGTCGACGAAGTCTAGGTCGTCAGTTCTGTCGAGGAAGTCTTGGTCATCAGTTCTGTCGAGGAAGTCCAGGTCTTCAGTTCTGTCGGGGAAGTCTTGGTCGTCAGTTCTGTCGAGGAAGTCTAGGCCGTCAGTTCTGTCGAGGAAGTCTTGGTCGTCAGTTCTGTCGAGGAAGTCTAGGCCGTCAGTTCTGTCGAGGAAGTCTTGGTCGTCAGTTCTGTCGACGAAGTCTAGGTCGTCAGTTCTGTCGAGGTATTATAGGTCGTCAATTCTGCCGAGGAAGTCTATGTTGTCTTTTCCGTCGAGGCACTTGGGGTTGTCAGTTCTGTCAAGGTCGTCTGTTCTGGATCCGGAGAAGACTTGAGGTAACAGTGATTCGAATGAACCCTAACACCATGGCGAACAATAAACTTCGCCACAAACAGAACGGTAATATAAACTAATCAGAATACCTACGAATCTATCAGAAATAAAGTAATTTGTAAACTAAATCCTCCCCCCTCTCATTACCACATCCAAACCAACTATGATGGATTTTTTGGCTCTCGCTTTTATTTCGCAAATGAAAATAAAGAAATACAATTATTTCATCCTACAACTATAAATAAGGCAAGAACTCCATTTTTTGGCGGAATGTACAGTTTTTCTCTGAAAAAAGAGGAAATAAAATCTAAGGTCCTGAACAAAAATCTCGAAATCAAAATTTTTTTTTCAAACTTTGTGGGTTGTGTAACATCTGAATTATTGATTAAGTCTTTATTTTTCATTTATCAATAATTCAGATGTAGTTTTCATTTATAACTAGTAAAGCTTAAAAATTCCTTACTTGTAGAAATAAGAATTTCTCTCTATAAAAAAGTAAAATTTAACTCTCATAAACAAGAAAAATAAAAATAGTAACATTTCATTCCTAACAAATTAAATTTTTCCCAATGAAAAAATTATAATTTTTTTCTGGTAAAAATTTAAAAGTTTCTCTCGTTGAAAAAACCTAATCTAATGTTTCTATATATTAAGGTTGATAAACTACGACCCAGCAGAGAAACGGACTTGCAGAAGGGGAGCACCAACGTCCACTTCTCTATGCAGAACCCAACAGAGGATACCTGGGATAAGATAACGGTATAAAAAAATAATAAGGGGAAAGTCTTTTCGGAGTTGTACATGGAACACAAACAATCTATTAAGATTTATAGACGAAATTAACTGATGCAATAAATATTTTACTGGAAAAAAATAAATGATCGTGGCAAATATAGCGAGGAAAATTGTTGTGATAAAAAATAATTACCCCTTACGCTGACCATCTGTTTTAAACAAGTATCCGGAGAACAATGTCCATCAAATTTATTTTCCTTACTTTGTATCTAGTTAAAAAAAATTTAAAATTCTACATAAATAATAGGATTTTACACTCTAAAGGATAAACTCAATCAAGTGCAATCGTTAACCTGCAATCTTGAAAACTAACTAAAACTTAAGAAAGATACAATTGCATTATTTATTTTTTTCAACTTTTTTCAACGCAGAATATTATCACAAAATTGACGAATATATACTCAGGATGCGTAACCTGTGGACGGAGAAAGTCTGAAAGAAAAAGAAGACGGGATCATCAACCTTCTTCCTAAATTATCTGTATCATCAACCTTCCTCCTAAATTATCTGTATCATCAACCCTCCTCCTAAATTATCTGTATCATCAACCCTCCTCCTAAATTATCTGTATCATCAACCCTCCTCCTAAATTATCTGTATCATCAACCCTCCTCCTAAATTATCTGTATCATCAACCCTCCTCCTAAATTATCTGTATCATCAACCCTCCTCCTAAATTATCTGTATCATCAACCCTCCTCCTAAATTATCTGTATCATCAACCCTCCTCCTAAATTATCGGTATCATCAACCTTCCTATTGCTTGTCTGTTTGTTTATTTGTTTGTAACCAATAAACGGCTAAACTATCAGACCAATATTTTGTGTAGGATCTCACATGAGCCCAGGGAACGTCTATGAATGCTCGGAATTACAAATTATTGTCTCCAAAAGTTTTTTATTTTCGTAAAAATTTTTAAATCCACGAAAAATAAATTGTCAATCCACAATTTTTTTATCGAAAAGATAAAGAAGAAGATTTAGCAACAATTAAAAGTTGAAATAGAAGATCTCCTCGATAGCCTAGTATAGTATTATAGGAAAGGGCTTTTTTCTCCACGCCCTTCACTCACATTTATAGATTATGTTGAACGGAACATAATAGACAGGATTTATCTGATTAATAGATAATTACCAAGAATCATCTCCGGAAAAGGATTCATTCCTTACTATAACTACAATGGAAATACAAGCCACGGAGTTCTATGAATATAGAATATGGAACGTCCCAGCTAGATGAAACACCATTTTCCAATTAAAAAAATAAAGTTCTTACGTTTGTTTTAAAAAATTTCAGTTGAGTGGTATGGCTTTTATAGCGAAAGATTAGTCAAGCTACTATTATATATAGATAGATTTTTAAACTTGACTTTTTGTATTTTGTATTTTATTTTGTATTTTAAACTGACTATTTGTATTTAACAAACGCCAAAACGGCTGAACCGATCGGGCCTAAATCTGTTGTGGCAACTCACATGATCCCTAGGAAGGTTTATAACTGGTTGAAATTGAAAAAATTTGCCTGATAAAAATCTGACGTTTACGATTTTAAGTAGAAAATCCGCGAACTTTTTTTGTTAATAGAAGAAAATGAAAATTAGCGGAAATAAACATTTGAAAACTGATGACGAAACCTTTTCAAACTTTGTCCTCCAACTTGCTCCAAGCCAAAGATATTGTCAACGAGTTTGACATCTGATATGGTGCTGCATCCTAGATACATTGTCCAGCTACTCAATACAAAGATATTGTCAACGAGTTTGACATCTGATATGGTGCTGCATCCTAGATACATTGTCCAGCTACTCAATACAAAGGTTAAATGCAGGATTTAAAAATTACCGCCATCCGGACAGTTTTAAAGCTCCTTCCATGACGCTTTGAGGGAAAGACAAAAATTACAATATTTCTTATGTTCTTAACTATAATGCTGCAATCTCAGCTCAACTATCCCCCACTACTCCTCTGAATGGTAGACATCTATTATTTTTCTGAAAGACATTCTTCTTTCTGGATGTTAGATATCTGCTAGATATCTAACAGATATCTGCTAGATATCTGTTAGATATCTGCTATTTTTCTGAAAATGTTGGACATCTGTTATAGTAGAGTATGGCAGACAGTCACTTTCCTGTTTTTATTCTAATATTCCCATTTCCAGTGAATATTCTATATTTTCAGGACTCGCGGGAAACCTTTCTCCTCTCAAATATACACAGAGCAGAAATATGAAATACAAGGATATAAGGGGGAGTACATGGTTTCCAAGTAGCAAAGGGGCTCATTAAAATAATTTTATCAAACCCATTACAGTTGTCAAATCTTTTAGGGGGCCCCCTCTATCGGTGGTTCTGATATTTCTTCTATAAAGCAGAAACTATATTTTTCGTAAGCTGTTAACTTTTTTTCAATATATCTTTATCGCAGAAGTTTTATTTTTAGTGCACACAAGATACATATATATAGTATATATATTACAGGAAGAACGAATCGATTCTAGAATGAATAAAGCTTGTATTACCCATGAAAATGTTCCACTATGTTTTGATAGGTATATTGGATTTGTTATGATTTATGACGGTATTAGATGTATTCCGATATTTTCTGCTCTGCTGCAACAATGCTCATGTCACTCTGCAGTCCTATAGATCAACTTTTCCAATCTAATCAGATTTTTTTTTCGAAAAATCATTCTTAAAGGGACTGTAAAGGAAAAATAAAAGAGGGTATAGGCTGAAAGCTAATCACTTTAGCTCTTGATCGCGACCCATAAAAGTTTAATCTGATGTTCCTGTCTCGAAAAATTGATATAAAACTGTGTTAAAATTATACGAAAGTTCATATATGTTAAATTGATAAAATCTTAAACTTCAATCACGTGACCAGAACTATCACCAATGGCAGAGCAGTATACTGATCACGTGTCTCCGCCTGTATCACGTGACTGCACTGCCATTGGTGGAATTTCTGGTCAAGCAATACGGACGTATAAATAATATTATGAATGAAATCTATTAAAAATAGAAGTAACAAATATAAAAGTAAACCTAATTTACAATTAGTTTACTCTGGGATATCATCGTTTTCAGATTGGTTGCTTATTTGCTGAATATGATCTGTTTAAACCTACTACTTATATACAAAATTGTATATATATTGATTTTCGTATAAATTTGACGAAGTTGTATATCAATTTCTCGAGATAGGAACATCAGATATGACTTTCATGGGTCGCAATTGAGAGCTTTCAGCCTATACCCCCTTTTATTTTTCCTTAACAGTCCCTTTAAATATTCTTCGCTGTCTACAGATTTCCTGTCATAACGTCACAACAATAAGTTACATTTTATAATTCATATTCTCATATATGTATTTAACCTTTAAACATGCATACAAATAAATAATTAAAACTTTTTAGTCTAGAGTCTGACTCGCATTTGAGTATAGTTTGATGCACTCTTTTTTAATCCCACATTATTCTGAGTCCTGAATCCCTAGATATTATCTCTCCTTACCCAAGCTCACTTACACGCTAAATTTTCAAACTTTATTGTCCCGGCTGAGTAGGTTTTTTGTCCCGGCTGAGTAGGTTTATTGTCCCGGCTGAATAGGTTTCAAATGTTTGACAATATTTTCCGCATTGTTGGTCGGATGGAGGCTCTCTGAATAATTACAACGACAGTCCCTATAATCTCAAAATATACCGCCTCTACCCATGACAAATTGTAGATAAATAGTTCTTAAACTCCTGAAAGAAACTCGTTTTTATATTTGCATAATGCATAACACTGGGACATTGTATAGTTTGATATTAAGACTGGGATGATGAAAAGAATATTTCCTGTTGTTTCTGTTGAAAGGTTGTTTAAGAATGAGTTGGAAAGGAGCGGAAATGAGAAGCAGGTCCCTTATTTCCTGGTTCATGAACAAACTATACAACTTTACTTTTACCATTGTTTCTATTGAAATATATTAAGGAGAAAAGCATATTACAAGGATGACATTGATATCCTGATCTCTTATATTCAGTTGACTAGGTCTTTTGCTATAAAGTTTAATCTTTTTGACGCCAACAAATAATCTACAAATGCAACAAGCATTAAAATAAAAAGAAATCGGACCGGAGCACAGTACCTGGCAGCTAAGGAAAAACGGCAAAAACCCTCTAGTCAATGTTACTGAATTGATTTCAACCTATTTAGGCTCAAAATATATTAAAATTTAATCAGTAACCCCACACAAGTCAAGAAAACAATTTTGCAAACTTTTTGTAAAATATTTTTGAAAATTTACAAATTCTGAGTTGTCTCCCACTATCTCAATATACTTTTCTGTAAAAATTGCATAGAAAAAATCCCAGACCTTGAAACTTTGAGATTTAATTTCTCAAAAACGTGCTACTTCGGGCCGTTTTTTTTTGCCGGGATTCCTGCATAGATTCAAGATTCTTCCCCATCAAAATTCAGGATGGACAAGTGTGGACATTTTTAGAAAAAGTAAATATTGTGAACGTTTTTTTCTGGAAATTTATAATTTTTTCTGAAATTCTGAAATTTGAATTTCTACCTCAATCAATTGAATTTCAACGGATCATGGTAAATTCTTACAACCCGAGGGTTTATTTTCAAGAATGGATCAAGAGCCAAAAGATCAATCATAAGCTAATAAAATCATGTAAGTTGAAGAGAAAACAAAAAAATGATTTGTTTGCCGGATTAAGAAAGAGTAGATTGGCCTTTTTTTACCTCATCTATTTTATTTCAAATGAATTAAAACACTAAATATAAACATCCTTAACAATCATCATTTCTTTTCGACACAAATTAATATAATATTCGTTGTTAAATTTTTTTTATTTTGGGATTCAATTGTTCTATTCTATCTAAATCAACATCGAAAGTTTAAAATTATAATATTATTCATTATTCGTTCATAAAATATTTGCACAAATGTATGAAATATTTACACATTTTATTAATGGCAGTCAATGATTGATTATTAACGGAACAATCTTAAATAGTATAATCATTAATATTTCGGAATTAATTGGTTTGAAGCGCACAAATATCATTATATTGTGCTGAGTTTTGCCACTTCGTATGCCTGAGATTCAAAGTAGGAAGAAAAAAAATTTCAAAATTGATGAGAGAGGGGAGGAATGCCAGCCACAACAATTTCTCGTCCGAGCCATATTCTCCTCTTTTTCTCGTCCGAGCCAACTCGGAATCCTCGTCCCTCGTTAATTTTGTGTTATAAAGTTTCCAATTCTTGAAGATAAAACTATTTTTTTAAATATGGCCACGTTACATTAGGGCATAAAATATGGATGGAGTATTGCAATGATAAATCATGTTTGAATCTTCAAACCCATGAGAATGATATAAAACTTTATCTAGGTAAAACTTAAATCTCTTCTGCCTCTGTAATGGCTAACCTTCGTGATATAAAACAAATAGCAAAATATTCGGCATACCTCTGCCTATAATTTTCCACATGGAACCACCCGGAGAAAACTTGGAATTATTTGCGGCATTCTACACCAGGAATATCTAAATAAAAAAGCTGAACATTTTAAAGACATTTAAATTAAAATCTTTAATTCAATTTAAACTTTTTTTTTCGATTTACAAAAATTTGATATTTCATTTATGCTCTAACGTGGCCCGATTCTTTAAAAATAGTTTTATCTGGAAGGATTAGACACTTAAAAAAATAATATTGAAAGGACGAGGATTTCGCGGTGGCTCGGACGAGAAAATGAGGAGAATGTGGCTCGGACGAGAAATTGCTGTGGTTGGCCTTATTCCCCTCGATAAGACCAAGGTTGCATAATAAGGTTGGTTACTCTCGATGCGCTCCAAGATAGATTTGTAAAAACCTAATATGACTTCACTGATTATAGAGGCGAGAGATGAGACACAGTTTAATTTTTTTACTCTTTCCTGTGGGTACGCAAATCAAAATCATTAAAGCAATACAAAATGTGAAATGAATCTACTGAATTCTACTGATACATGACTGGAACGTTATGTTACTTTACTTTCCCTCGGGATGAATTAAAATAACTTTCAAGCTGTTGTAAATTAGAAATTGCGGATTTTTATATCAAAAGGTGAATTGATAAAATTTATTTCTCTTTTCAGAAAATTCGTATTTTGTCTGCTGTCATCCCACGGTATTATACTCTGGATGTTTTACAATTAAGTTATGTTGGCCTTGGGAACCCTGTGAATTTAAATGAACTTAATACTCATAAGAAAGCTCTGATCATCGTTATATCTTAGCAACCTGATGTCGTTAATATGTCAAACTATGAGTAAAACTGTCGTAGTTTTAAATCTCTAAGAATATAAGGATTAGAAATGTAGATTTTGTGGCAAGTACTCGGTTCCTTTATTGTCTTTAAATTCATACTGCACATTTTACACAGAAACAGAAACAGATATAGTTTAGAAGTATATTTCAAGATAAAGTTGGTATTTAATGAATAATATATTATCGAGATGAAATTACGATACTCAATTAATTACTAGTTAAGTAAAATTTTAAGAAAGGAAACATAGTCCTAACCAAGGTACTAAGGCAAGGAAAGTTAATTGCGGTCGCGTAAACTCTGAAACCAGTTCTCTCTGGGCGAAATTTGTAAACAAGAATAGATGCATCAGTGTTCGTTTAGTATCCGAGGAGGTTAAAATGATTAAATTTTGATAATTTTGATAATTCACATAATAGTTTCCTATGACCAGAATATTTCATTGATTTTTAATGTTTAAGATGGATCCCATGTGAGGCTTCGACATCCGTTTTGTGTTTACATTACCGCCCAAAGACAATACACTGCAGTACAAAAAATGCGTACACCTCTAAACTAACTTTCCTTGCATTGAAGTCGGTTTAAACATATTTGGTACAATATTCTTATTCAATTATGAAGGAAAGATGATGATTAAAATTGAAGAGTTTTGTTTATATTATTTTGCAAAACTGATTTTTACAACCAAAAAAATTATAAATCAGCATTAGTCTCACTATTCTGGGTGACTTCATATTTTCTTAATGAAAATAATGTAAACAAATCTACCACCCTTAAAATGTTACAATATGCACAATTTACTATTAAATTTAAGGGTTTTTAAAAGTTTTACCTAAAATCTATATTTTCAAGATATTTCTGGTGATTTTATTTTGTTTTTGTTTTGTTTTCAAATGTTTAAAATATAATGTTACAATTACAGGAAATCTATCTAAAAAAATATCAAAGGAATACTTACGTTCTAAATGGAATGCCGACATTTAATTTTTAATAATGTCGTTAATATCATAACGTAATGCCTTTTACGTATTTTAAATATATGTACTTTACAGTTTAAACACTTATTTATCAAGACCGCATGGATTTTCTTTAGAATAATAAGTACGGTCTGCAAAATGAAAGTTTGCTCATAAACCATTTCATAATTCAAATGCAAATTGTAAAACAGCCTTTGTCGACAGATTAGATTTTATTAAATTAAATTCCATGGATCAAAATTATGAAGAATTCAAGTCAAAATTATGGCTCCAATACAGTGTACAATGCACATATTGTAATTATACAATATGCATTGTAATTTTACAAGATAAAAAGAGTTTGTAAATTGTAATAATACTTCGAAATTACTGTTCATGTTTTCCAATTATAAGCGATTTTGTTACAACAACCTTATAAAAATCAGGTGGGTATATTATTATTTAGAAAACAATAAACAATAGAACATCGGAGCAACCTAATTTTAGATTTTTCAAAATAAAAATGTTGATGATTTTTTTCTTTGAAAATATATCAGATACGTTTAATCAAATCTTATTTTCAAACTTGTTGTGAATTCTTCAGTCTAGGATTTATTTCACAGCAAATAATTCCAATTATATATGTATACTATATATTTGAGTTATTGACAAATTTTTATGCGTATGAAAAGAAGTTATCAGATCCCAGTCATTTTATTAAAATCAGAAAGAAACTTCCATTATTTTGTAAACTTTTTCGAAATTTTTAATAATTATATAAGATTCAACTGAACGCTATATTTAAGGTGAAATTGTGATGTTTAACAGAAAGAAAGTTAAATATTCCAGATTCACGATTTTAGATGGTTTATTCATCAATAATCCTCTTTTAAAATACATTATCCATGGACAAAATATCTGCTACGTAAAGATAATTTTCTTTCCTTATCTGGAATCCATATTCCAAGAAGCAGGGGATGCAGGTGGGGAGATTACAGTGCTAGGAATATTCTTCAATACTTCCTAAAATAAAAGCTATGTCAACATTTATATATTGAATTAATTTTAAAAGATTTTCAGGAAAAAATCTAAATTATTGTTGTAATTTTGAGGTATTGATTAATGTTAATTTTAGATAAAACTACAGAAAGTATATTACATGGAACCTATCTGGGGATTCGGCCATTTTGTGTTTTTGTTACTTTGGCGGATTCATAGTGAAGAGAACGCACAATAGTTATAATGATGGTAAGTGATCTAAACTATATTTTATTTTTGTTTGAAATCTTTTTATGTGATCAAACGCAACTCATGTTTCTATGGTTTTATCGTTCGTTTACAAAGTTATTATAGAAATTACAGTGACAAACACCCTTTTACATAATGCACCCTGCATAGGTAAAAGAATGGAGGAGAGCTTATTATTGACAATCATTATATTATGATTTGAATTTTTAGATTTCACCTAAATCTACGACGTTTATCTCCTCTGGACTAGACTTACTTTGTGTTTTGTGCGGGAGCTTGTGTCAATTATCACTTGGTGCTCATTTATAATCTCCTGAAACATTAGGAACATCAGGATTCTATGTAGGCGTTAGGATAGGACTCATGAGAACTAACACAAAACATCAGAAGTCATTGTGGAAAAAAAAACATTTGAACTCGCACGCTGACATCAGAAGATCGGAACTCCCCCTAAAACATCAGAACTCACGCAGACCCATCAGGATTTGCACAGAAACATCATAACTCACACAGGAACATTTATAGCTCACACGAGGACATCAGAACTCAAACCGGAATATTATAACTCACACACGAACATCAGAACAAACACAGAAGCATCAGAACTCACACAAGAGCATCATAAATTATCAGAATTCGCACAGAAACATCAGAACTCACACAGGGACATATATAGCTCACACGGGGACATCAGAACTCACAAAGGAAAGAACTCTCATTGTAACATCAGAACTCACACAGAAAATCAGAATTCACACGGTAACATCATAACTCAGAACATTAGAACTCAAATGAGAAAAATTAAAGAATACATTACAGCTGAAATTTGTTAAATATTGGGTAATATTTGCAGAGTTGATTAAAAAATCTTATATAAGAAAACATATATTTAGATCAATGTCCTGTTTGTAAATTAATGGACAAGTATTTCTTCATTGTCATTAATTTTTTCATTTTCAATTTTTTTGACATGAGAAGAGAAATGATTAATTAAAGTTAGTCATTACCTCAGATTTCGAGAAATGGTTTGCAGGAGAGTTTTCAAGTTCATCATTTTCTAAATAATTAGACTTCTATTCAGTAGAAGTGAGAGCTGGGGGGGGGGGGGACTAAGAATGGACAACTTAATTTGTTTAAATTGGGAATTATACACAAAACCTATCCCTCTCACAGTGAGTTAACTGAAAAAATTTAAAACTAAATGTTCTGAATCCCTGTTAAATAGTTTATTAATAAAAAAATATTCTTCTTATCTTAAATAAATCTAGATTGCTTAAACAATCTTGTTTTAACGATTTGGCCATATTGAGAAAAAATTTGCATAGAATTTCCTTTCCAGTTTTTAGTGTCTCCCGGTTGGCAAAGCCGGAACTGGCAGCATATCTTACCTCGTCTTTCAAACCTAGCGGAGCAAACCCTTGGAGGTTTCAAATCCTTTCCAGCATCAGAGGTCTCTATACCCGTCTCCCCATCCTCGGCCTAAACAATACACTCTGATTTAACTTTTAGGTCATGATCCAGACTCCAATTTTCGAGACTGTGTCAACTTTGAAGTGTCGCACTTTTAAATCACTGTGATGTTTTCTAAAAAAAACTTCATTGATTTATGCAACACAGACGCGCAAGAAAACGTCCAGTTAAAAAATATCTTTATCTGTAATTCATAGATGACATATTCCAGGAAGCTGATAGGATTTGTGTATGGCACTTTCAAATTAAGGATAAAATACAAGGTTTTATATAAAATGTATAATTATATAGTTGCTGAATTGAGTGCAGTTTCTCTTATCTCAATCTCTCTAGAATGAGAAGCTTAATCTTGAAAGGATTCAATGAATTTTAGATGAGAAGTCTGGTCAAATTTTGTATTCTATCCTCCAGTAAATAACAAGATAGTGTTTAATCTGCATCAGACCTTTCTTTGGTGAAAACTAATATTATGACAATATTATGTGATATCATTGGGATTATCGGAGAATATTTTTCAAATGTCGCATTTCCCACCTTTGAACCCTTTACTACAATCTTTTGCTGGCGCACATCTAAAATTGATAAAACTTTTTCCCTCTTAAAATCAACATTTTATATCCAACATTTATATATATGGTGTGTATAGCCGGCCAAACAGCTGGACCGATTGGGCTGAAATTTTTTGTGGACACTCATGGGTTAGTCGGGCGGTGTTATAGGCTTAAAAAAATAGAATTTTTTTTTCAAAATTTTTTTTCACTTGGCAACACTGGGCCTTTCAGCTAGTTATAAATAATTTATAATATACTAACTGAAGTGCCCGGCATTGTCCAGGTTTTTCACAGTTACTCCCGCCGTTTACCCGCGCTTGGTCTTGAATAATGATTTTAGCTGAAGTGCCAGGCGTTGCCCGTGGAATTAAAAAACTCCCAATTTAGCCTATTTCAACTCACCTTTGCCTGCCATTTTGATTTATTAACCAACAAGATTTCATTCCAAGGTTTCTGTATTTCCTTGTTCTCTTGTCGCGAGCAAAGAACCAGAGACATGGCATCCCCTGCTATACCAAGAGTTGGAACCACGATAAAGTCTATGAAACCAATCTGGGACTGTGGAACCATTGTATTCTGCCTACTCATCATATTCTCGTTAGAAAAATTCAAGACTGAATAAAGTGATTAGAATTTTCTTCCTTTGTTCAATATTAAATCCTGAAAATTTATTTTTTCATTTTGTTTTGAATATTTTTTCTATTTTGATATGTAATCATAAAGACATTGAACTAGAAAATTTTTATTATTTACAACTAATTTGTTGGGAACTGTTAAGGAAATTTTACATTACCAAGTGTTCGTTGAACCCTGGATGTCATTTCGGCAAAATTGGTCGAGTGAACCCGTGAATAACTAGCATTTTAAATATCCGAAAAATTAGTTAGTTGTACACAATTTACTGTTTTTTGAGATAAAAATGCTCAAATTTTTTCACAGACACTCAACAGAACTGAAGGTTATTTACATAATTGGGAAACATGGATTAGTAATGTTGGTTATAGGGCGGTAAAAACTAACAAAAATTTTCCTAACATAGAAATTTTCTTTGAATGTTGGTTATAAGGCGGTAAAAACTAACGGAAATTTTCCTAAATCATAGAAATTTTCTGTGAATGTTGGTTATAAGGCGGTAAAAACTAACGAAAATTTTCCTAAATCATAGAAATTTTCTGTGAATGTTGGTTATAAGGCGGTAAAAACTAACGAAAATTTTCCTAAATCATAGAAATTTTCCATGAATGTTGGGTAATACTAAATATTTGGTTGAAAATTATGAATGAAAAGTATAGGAGAAATATTAAGCTGAGTAAGCTAAGCTCCTGTAATCTCCAATATGAACAAAATAAAATATAAAAATATTTCTAGTCAACACTCAACACTACGAAGGATTTATTTGGATAATTTACGTTAGCACATTTTACATTTCTTAGAAATAAAACATTCATGAAAGAAAATTTTCATATTTCCTAGATTAAAATGAATTGAGTTTTTGTAACAAATAAAACTATTGCATCCTAAATTGGTATTTTTTAGTTGAATTTCCCCCTATTTTCCATTAATTTGTTAAATTTGTTAAAGATACCGATTACAAGAGTTTTGTCATCAAGCAGAGAAATCTAAAAAAATGACATTGTAAAGAAACTGTAGATGCAATTTAAAGTAGTTTTTTTTAGAGTGCATGGCATTGAATTCTTAAAAAAAAAATAAAAACCTAATGGACTCCAGTCTAATTTTCTAATACCTAAATCTTTGCGTCTTTTATGCCATAGACCTTGATATTTCAAACTATAAATTCTGTTAGATAAAATAGTCTAGGTTTTAAATATCAAAGGTTTACACCATCAGGGTGCAAAAAAATAGGTTTTCGAAAATTTGAGCTTGTTGCACAGACTCAATTCCTTTATTATAGAGACAACCCTCTATTTTTCGGATATTGTATAATTTGGAGTGTTAGTAAGTGATAGCGATACGAAGGTTTGTGTGGTGTAGGTATTATCGGATGCCAACTAGATTATTTTTGGCTCCTTTCATTTTGACCAAGATCTGGTGATTACCAGGATTAATTTACTGTTACGTTGGCTAGTCTATATTTTACAAATCCTTGAACATGGTTTGTTAGTAGACATTAGTCCCGAACAAGGAGCTAAGATTGAGTTTATTCTGTATGTAATTCACTTATGTAAAGCAAATCTATGTAAATTGAACGACATGTTGCACGCTTATAGCACCAACAACTTTCATTAGAATTTTTTAATTTGGTTCCAATCTATATATATATATATACATGAACCTAACTGTTTTATTGTAGCAGGAAAATGATGTTTTGATCTTTCCTGCGACTGTAAATAGCATTTTGTTTGTCAGTTATTTTTACCCTTCGTTCGCACTCAACCCCATTTTGCCTCCCCCCCCACCTTTTACTGATATTTAACGGGTTTTCTTGTTTATGTTTGGTTTCTATATTTAACCCAAGCCACGCGGAGAAATCCGTTATCTCCAAGCCCGGGAGCTGGGGAGCTGGCCGGCCAGCTCACAGGGCGTGGGGTAGAATGCGAACTAAGGGTGGAGCGAAATAGAGGGAAAAAAGACAGTTGTGATTCAGCTCCCTTGAATTAAGGTTCCCTTGAAGAATTCCCCTATTTGACGAAACTAATTTGATTAACAATATTTAATTTGTATAAGTGAGACGATGAAAATGAAAATGTAAAATGTCTCCTGTTTGATAGAACTGATTAGATTCATAATATTTAGTTTGTATTAGTATCGTTCGATTTAAAGTTTGTATCTTTTGTATATAAATATATTGTAAGAAAAACCGACGCGTTGAATATTTGAGAAACTCAGTGCATTGCTTTATTGATTTTTATTCATATACTATATTATGTATTGTAATATTAAATACTACCTTTCACGTCCAAAATTTAACAGAAATAAAAACAAACAAATTAATCTTCATTAAAAAAAAACTTAAAAGTTATTATTAGGTTTTTTTTGGAATAATAATATTATCGCTTTTGAAATTAGATATTATTAGACAATATCGAATTCGTCACTAAATTCTCATGTTTTTTGGGACACCATGTAGTAGAAAATATTTTCAACTAACGTTAAGATAATAGAAACTGTTGGAACTGATTAGCGAAAACCCAATGGATCATTCAGTTCTCAGAAAAATACACTCCCAACTTGATACATATAAATACACTCCCAACTGGATACATATAAATACACTCCCAACTGGATACATATAAATACACTCCCAACTGGATAACTATAAATCCAAGTCATAGGAAAAGCTAGGCGATCAAGGCGAAAATTATCTTTCAGATGTCTTTTTTTTATGAATTATTAAAATATTGCCAATCACGGGGCGGAATTAATTCTTGTACAGGTAAGGCCAGGTCGGTACGAATTTAGTAGAGTATTCCAAATCGTTGACTTTCCTTAATGGAAGTTGGTAGAAGATACAAAATGTAATATTTGTATCTTGATTGTATCTCGCACTATACGATTAATATATAACGAAGAGGGTATTCTTTTTTGGTTTTTTTTCCCCATCTCTTTAAATCAAATAATTTACGTTTATGTAATATGAAAACTAAATTTAATTCGGTTCTGCATTTAAAATTTGGAAGTTTTTGATTAAAAGTCAAATAAACGTTTTAAAAGTGTTTCTTTACGATATACCGATTAATTTCATAATTCTGTTTCTATACGAAATACCGATTATTTTCAAGATCCTGTTTATTTACGAAATAACAATTAGTTTCATAATTCTGTTTCTATACGAATTACCGATTCATTTCAAAATTCTGTTTCTTTACGAAATAACGATGAATTTCCTGTCGCAAAGTGGTGAGAAGTCTAATCCTCTGCTACGTTCCATATCTCCTTGTCGAAAGAACTCTTCCATACATCTTGCAGTCCATTGGTGATGTAAATCCCACCTGAACATATTAATATGTATTGGTCACCCATCCTTTACTTGACTCCTGTTCACATTAGCTTAACTTAAAGGGAGTGACCGGCTATGTAAGGTAGTTGAACTGAGTATTCAGTGTTGTGGATACGTTTTCAGAATTAGTTTTTTTAATTATCAAATAACGACGACATAAAATGTAAAAAAATTCTACAGTAAACGAATTAATTGTTTAGGAACAGTTTGAGAAAATAAAAATTGATCTTATCATCGAAAATAAGTAATCTTGTTCAATTATTAGTTTCTATTTTCTCATTTTTCTGGTTTCTCATTTTTCACAAAGATTTTCTGCAGATTTTCTGGAATATTATTGAAAAGACGACATTTGAAGAATTTGAAGAAATCTGCGAATAAATTCAAGGAAAATGAGAAATTCAATATAATGATGAAAACAAAATGATTGATTCTAGCATTGATTTATTGACACATTTCTTTTGAGAATATGTTCCTAACCATATAATTAGATTACTGTATAATTCTTACTATATTTTTCGTCGTCGTTATTTAATGATTAAAAAGAATCTAATTCTGAAGAGTAGGAGTTTTGAATGTCGAATTAGCGCGCAAACTCAGGATTTACAGATCTTTAAAAAGTTTTATATCTCTCAAATGAATCCGAAAGAAGTTTTCCACAACACTGCATACTCAGTTTGACTACTTTACATAGCCGGTCACTCCCTTTAAAGATCCATTGGTGTTGTAAATCCCACCTAAACGTATACATATATACTTGGTCACCAATCGTTTAAGCAACATTTTACACATCAGCTTAAACGTGCATTTTATTATTATTCATTGTATAATAAAATATGTACAAAACACTCAAAGAATCCTGTATTTTGTAAATGAAAATTTTTAAAGTTCTTCGTTTGCAATTTTCTTCTTTAATACTGAATGCAAAAAGGGAGGGCGTAAAATAGTTAACGCAAAGATTTCAAACTAAGTATTTCTTCTTTGAAGTAATGATTAAACGAGAACTAGAAGTTCAGATTTTGTTGTTCCTACATTTTAAAAGAAAACACTGAAACATATGTGCATTCATCAGGAATACATAGAATTACGTTAATATTTTCAAACATAGGAGAGTCGGATATGGGGGGGGGGGAGGGGGGCTAATCATTGAATAGTTTATTTACCGTTTTGCTGGATGTGACACATCGCAAGAATGAAGGAGAAGACTGAGCACTTTGGTTTTATCCACACTACAATATAGTGAAATACAATATTACTAAATTATTCAGCATAACATATACGGAGTGCTCCAAAAACCGTGAGAATTACGTGACGTCAAAGGCTGATCATATTTTGGAATTTCCAGAATTTGTAATAGTTTACTATGCGAAAGGATGTTTGTAAAAATTCAAAAGTCGTCATTAAATTTCCATTTTTATTTGCACACCCGAAAGAGGAGAGGAAGGCCATCCACAACATTTTCTCGTCCGAGCCACATTCTCCTCATTTTATCGTCCGAGCCACCTCGAAATCCTCGTTCTTTAATAATTATGTGTTTTAAAGTTTCTAATTCCCAGAGAAATTTTTTTTTATATAAATCTGGTCACTTTAGGGAATACTAAATGGATAAACTAAAGTATTACAATGATTTTTTCATGTTGGACCGTTTAAAGCTATGAGAATAATGTCAAATTCTACCTCTGCCCATCATTTTTTCCCATGGAACCACCCGAGAAAATTCTATGGTTTTTGCTATTTTTAACAAAAAAGATTAAAGTTCTATAAACTCGAAATTAGTTTAAGCATTCTATGCCTGAAATATCCAAAAATGCATTTTTAAGGATATTGAACTGTAAAACTTTTTTTTCGATTTAAAAAAATCAATATTTCGTTTATGACTTTAACGTGGCCCGATTTGGAGAATTAGATACTTTTAAAGGATAATATTGGAAGGACGAGGATTTCGAGGTGGCTCGGACGAGAAAATGATGCGAGTGTGGCTCGGACTAGAGATTGTTGTGGTTGGTCTCCTCCCCTCCCCTAAATATAGGAAAAAAATTTTAATTGAACTTCCTTTTCCACTATAAACAAAATCCGCCATTGGCATTCATAGAAAGGAAAACTTTTATATTTCTTCTATTTTAGAATAATCTAAAAGCTGGGACAAGAATGACTAATTTTGAAAATTCACACTACAGCTTACTGGGATTACTATTTTAGTCGTTGGTAAATCATGATATCATAGATCCAGACTGCTGTACAAAGTTGAATACATTTTCTAGGCTAGGTCTGCTTTGAAGTGTTGCATCGCCTTGGGCTTTGATTTTAGCTCACAAACTCAAATGTACTTTTTAGAACTAAAATTCACTTGTTTTATCCTTAGTTTATAAAAAGTAATTGTAAAAATTCTCATCGGTACTTGATTGCAACCAGTGGGTCACTGTAGATAAGTCATAGTTAGGTGAGAAATTTAATTTTCGAGAAGCTTTCAGTCAAATACAGTTTGAAAAAAATTCAATTCAGGCTAATCAAAGGTATAATTTATTATTACCTGTTTCCGTCTGTTGTAGACTGAAGTAAGGTTTTCATCGACTTTAACTGTGTGAAGTGCATTGACATATCTTAAAGAACAGAAATCAAAAAGGGAAAACAAAATTATCAAAAGTTCATAACAACCGCGATTGGTTTCATTTAAATCAAAATATATAGCTAAAAATACAAAGGAACTGAACACCGCAAACTCTAATTTTTAATAAAAGGAATTGAGTCTTTGCCACAAATTCTGAATGTCTAATCTCTATATCTTTGCAACCCAATTTCGAAGACCTTAGATGATTCAGACTAAAAGTTTTGTTAGATCAAGTAGTAGATCTTAAGTTATGCCATCAGATCAGTTCCTTTGTTCAACTTTACTATAGTTGCAACGAGGGTTGTTTTGTTTCCTTTTTCAATCGTTTTGAACTTTAAGAAAACGAATAACTATCATTTTTGAAAACAATTATTTTAACGATCGTTAACGAAGGGTCGCCGTTAACGATTGTTAACGAAGGGTCACCGTTAACGATTTGTAACGAAGGGTTGTCGTTAACGATCGTTAACGAAACAAAAAACTTTATAAAAACCGTCGGTTTTGAAAAAAATTACATGCAACTTTATTGATTGTCGTCTAACATGTAGTTAGACAGTTGTTGGGAGCTAAAACTTCTTGATATTTTTTTAAAAACTGCTCAATGTTTAGTACAGATGCCCTTCAGGTCGGTTTCCTCTCTTTGTTAACGATCGTTAACAAAGGGTCGTCGTTAACGAAACGACGAGTTTAAAAAAACGATAATTTTGAAAAACGAACTTTAAAAAAAAAGATCGTTTTTAAAAACGATCGTTTCGTTTTCGATTTTTCGTCGTTGTTTTCATAACGAAACGATCGTTTTTCAAAAAAATGAAAACGTTAACATCCCTAGTTGCAACGATAAAAGGATTACAAAATAAGATAAAAGTTAAAATTTGAACGCACGTATGTAAGCTAAAATTAAAAATATATTTATTATTTTTAAATGTTCCTAAAACTTCTCAGCTAAATCACATCGGTGGTGGTGTAATCCCCCCCCCCCCCTAGAGGTTAGACAATAATAGTACACCCTGGATAGGGTTAACGTATACCTGTGTGTAGAACCATCTCTATCATAAGAGATCTAAACTCCCTAAACTCCGTCCTGGACATGTTGTTCAATATGTTGCAATCGTTCTCATACATCGTCCTAGGATATCATATTTTTACTTTTTTATCCGTCTTTGGTTTATTCAAACATTAAAAAATATTTGCCTGATGCACTTATAATCTTAGTTAAATCTCAGATTATTTGAATTCCTTCTAAGCCTTAATCTTCTTATACTGAATCATTCTTAGCAAGTATTGTTTGTATAACGAACCAACTGAGTTTAGGTGAAAGGAACGGAGTTTTTCTTGCACAAACTAAAATTTTATAATTCCTGTATCTTTGCACCTGATGGGGTTGCAAATATATAGAAATTTGAAAATCAGACTGTGACGCCTAAATTCAGTTAATTTGGAGTAGTTGCTTACTAAAAAACCTAATAAATAGACAATACTTCTTCAAAGATTTTTTCATTTTGATTTTTGACTATCCCCAAATATTCTAAAACCCTAATTAACCAACCTACTGAAGCTCTAATGAACTAACCTACTGAACTCTTGTAATTAACTTGCTTGTTGGAACGCTTATTAACAAACGTACTTAACTCTAATGAACTAACCTTCTAGAACTCTAAAGAACAACCCAACTGGAACTCTGATGAACTAGCCTACTAGCACTCTATTGAACTAACCTTCTGGAACTCTGATGAACAATCCTAATGTAACTATAATGAACTAACCCACTGGAACTCTAATGAACAACCCAATTGGAACTATAGTGAACTAACCTACTGGAACTCTAATAAACCAACCTACTGGAACTTTAGTGAACTAACATACTGGTACTCTAATGAACAACCAAACTGGAACTCTAATGAACTAACCTACTGGAATTATAATGAATTAACCTACTGGAGCCTAATGAACAACCAAACTGGAACTATAAGTACCTAACCTACTGGAACTAAAATAAACTAACCTACTGGAACACTAATGAACAACCAAACTGGAACTCTAATGACCTAACCTAATGGAACTATAATAAACTAACCTACTGGAGCACTAATGAACAACCAAACTGGAACTCTATTGACCTAACCTACTGGAACTATAATAAACTAACCTACTGGAGCACTAATGAACAACCAAACTGGAACTCTAATGACCTAACCTACTGGAATTATAATGAACTAAACTACTGGAACGCTAAGGAACAACCTAACTGGAACTCTAATGACCTAGCCTGCTGGAACTATAATGAACTAACCTACTGGAACACTAAGGAAAAACCTAACTGGAACTCTAATGACCTAACCTGCAGGAACTATAATGAACTAACCTACTGGAACACTAAGGAAAAACCTAACTCGAACTCTAATGAACTAGCCTACTGTTACTCTAAATAACCAAAATACTGGGACCCTATAAATTAACCAAACAACAGAAACGCTGATGAACTTACCTATTGGAACGCTATTGAACTAGCCTACTGGAACGCTAATGGATCCATCTACTAAAATCTAATGAACTAACATACTAAAACATTAATGAAAAAACCTACTAGAACTCTAATGGGCAAACAAACTTGAACAATAATGAAATAATTTACTGGAACAGTAATGAACCAGTACTAGAACTCAGATGAACACACATACTAGTCTTTTGATACTCTAATAAACGAACCTACTGGAGCTATTATTACACCAATTTTTAATTACACAAATCTTTTCGTGTCAATGTTTGATAAACCTATCAATTATCTATTAGACCCGATGACTTGTTAAAGTGTCAAGAAGTCAATTGTGATAAAAATACCTATTAAATTAAACTGATAATATCTAACTAACTTTCTCCAAAAATGCATTTCGCACAAAAAATAGAAGGAAGACGACTTTCGATTTTAATTTTCGATGTTTACCAAGATTTTAAACAGCAAATGATACACATAAAAATGTAAACAAAGAGAAGCTTCAATCAATAGATTCTATTTGTTTACTTGTAAACTTGTAATTTGAAAAAAGTTGTTGGAATCAAAACTTAAAAAGAAATACCGGCTTCATTGTATTGGTATAAAAACCGACCACTGTACCTGAAAAATTCTGCCACATGATGGTTCTCTAATACAGCTCTATCATTGTATAATATTGCCAGACTTGAACCTGACTGAATATGGAAATTATTGGTAGTTCCTGAATGATCGTAATCATGAACAATGGCGGAGAACAGAAGAGCAAATATTTCTAGATCTGAGAGCCAGTTCTTTAAACCGGTTTGGGAGATAAACCAATGTGTTGTCTGCAGTACATCACTAGCGTGGAGGTTGTTATGGTAAGGATTAGAGTTCTTGGTGTACCCTATCTCAAGGTGGGAGAGAAGAGTCTCCAGGGTTGACGGAGGAATCTTGTATTTATGTAAACACCCATGCTTCTGTAGCAGATGGTAACCTAAATTAAAAGAAAAATAGGTAATTAACCTGATCTAGAGAAAAAGGTGTATAATACTTTCATATTTCATTCTTGTATCGCGATAAAAAATGATTTTGTTTTTTTTTAGCAAATAAATGGTGGCAATAAATAGGAGTAAATACTCAATAAAATTAAAGAATCAATTTTGTATTCGTTTTATGGATTATGGTTCTACATAAGCTTCAAGTTGAAGAACGGATTCTCCCATTGGATAGGCTTATTATAAACCATGAAGGAAATTAACAAAGTTTTCCTTTTTGGGAATTAATTAACACAACATCAAAGCCTTAAATAAAAATTTAATTTTAAAAAGAGTTTAAAGAGTTTATGACAGAATTTACGATATATGACTCAAATGCCGAAAATATCAAGACTCTGATGAGAAATGTGACTTTATGAAATAGCTTGATGAAATTCCGATAAGAAACGAGAAAAATGTAAAGTCTCAGATAGAATGTGTTAAGTTTATTTGATAAAAAAAAATGTTGAAAATTTTTTAAGTTTAAAAATCTCATTTAACTTTAGAAATCTCAAATAAAGTATTTTTATAAAGTCTATTGGAGAATCTTCAATGAAATATTAAAAGTCAGATAAGATTTTTTATAATTAATTTATAATTAATTATCAGATTAGAAACGTTAAATGTTTGAAAATATCTATAATGCTGTACTTACTACTTATCTAAGATGTTCTTCCATGAATCAATAATTTTGACTCAGGGGCGGAAACGTCATGTATGTGTGTCTGTACCAAAAGAGTGTGTGTATGTGATAACTAACCGAAGTAGTGTACATACAGTACCCAAGAATTTCGGTATTTGTACAGTCTATTTAAGTCAACACTGTCAACCAAATTTTCATGCAAAGAATATAAAGTTTACAAATAACAACTCGTTATTCAAGCTTAATTATAATTGACGAAATTGTTCTGCAATTTCATGTTGTTTGTCTGTACCAAAAGAGTGTGCATGTGTAATAACGAACTCGTCTCCAAAGCAGTGGGACTGGCTTTCTCATGCCAGACCAGCGCCATTTCCCCTCCCTTTATTCCTATTCCCTGTTTTGAATATAATGTATTTGATAAGGATTAGTTAAACTAAATAATCAAATTAAATTACTTTTTAATAAATTAAACATAAATAGAATCATTGAGAGCAAATTTCTTTCATCTCATCACTAATTAAAGTTCAAATAAGAGGAATTTATTTTATTCCTGAAATATGAACTAAACAAGAGTTTTCAAAATATTCATCCAGGTGCTATTTTTTCACTTCCTTTTTTTCCTAAACAAATCTAAAAAAGTCCTCACCTAAGAATTTAAGAGGACTGCCTTTAGTAGCTCGAGCAAAGGAGAAAATGTCAAAGTTCCAGTCATCAACTTTCTAAAATGAGAAAACATATTGTTTGGTGTAATAAAATATTATTTATGGAGGAATAGATGAGAAATTTTGAGTTTTTTTTCGGAACAGTCAGTCTCTTTAGTGATTCCAATTTAACAAAAATAAAAACTGTATGATGCTATAGAATACCTTCTGACATTAAAAGTAGAAATGTATCTACATATAAATCTAAAGTAGAAATCTCTGTTTGTCTGTCTGTCTTTTGTTTGAATGTCCGATCATAACTCAGGAACCCCTGCACCAATATGTCCCAAATTTTGACAGGGTAACTAGGAGAATGTTCTCTTTAATTCAAACGGTAGACTTTTGTATCGTAAAATCCAGGCAAAGCTGGGTTCCCAAGCTTGTAAGTTATAAAGCCGAAGAAAGTCTTTAACGCGAATGATTTTTCCTTTTTTATCAAGTTTTTTAACGACACCCTCTACAGACTTTTCCCCCTTAGGATTTCTAAAGATGACTTTGCATTGGAAAGTTATAAAACTCATTTAAGTTCTCACATTTTGCTCTTTATATGCAAATAAAGCAAGACTATAGGGAATATGTTCGATGATCCCCGTAATAAAAGTAGGTTTAGAGCGTCACAAGAATACAGTATACCAATATTCGGTCAAACAAACGTTTTTTTTACAGGTTAGAAAGAATACAGAAAAAAACAGAACAGTCATCACAGAAACAAATTTTCTGATCCCTATATTTTTGCAACCTAAGGTGTAAATATTTGATATTTAGAGAAAAAAGTGCAAAGTTTAGAAGTATGACGCATTTTCGGGTTGTCATGGTTACTAAGAGTTGAAGGGACGGGAAGTTTGAAAATATCACCATATAAGATAAGTTTTTGCAACAATTTTCTTTTCAAAAAAACTATTTATTTTCCCTAAAGTAAAGTGTTTAATTAAAAAATCTATTCCTGGAAAACAGAAACTTCCCAACAACAGGAAAGTAGAGAAAAATGAAATAAAAAACTATAAAACAAAATTTGATGTTGAAAAAAGTATTCTTTACTTACATCAAGAAATATTTGAACATCTGGTGGTATGAGCATTAGTTGTGAGGTTGAAATCCTGCGGTAAATTCTTTCAATAAAAATTCCTGAACCAAAATAAACATATTTTCTAAATTAATCATTCAAATATTCTTTTACAATTATCTTTAAATTATTTGATTATTTGAGATATTTAAAAGTTATTTTTTTTTCTTCTCGAAAATAGTATTCAAAAGAGTTGAGCTGCTATTCATAATTTCCACTAATTCTTTTGAGAAAAATTTACAGTTTCCCAGAAATTGTAATTTATATTTCAAATCTTTTGTCTTCGTCATAGAAACTAAGTAAGAAAAGCAAAATAAATGCAAAATAGGGAACTTTTTAAATGGAATTTCTTGTAATGTTTTTTGCTGATTGTGAATCTTTTCTTATACTTATTTTAAGATAAATATATAAATTTCGATTTGTTAAAAAAGTGAGAAAAATACAACAATTGAAGTGAACATGATTTATTGTCGGATATTTTTATAATAGTTTTAGCTTAAATCTATTTCTCTAAACCCTATCTGAGCTTATAGAATGAATCACGGCGGATGAAAAGACAGAGATTTCTTGAATTATTTATAAATATGATAATGGTTCCTGTGCGAATAGCGTTGGCAACAGATTTGAAACTTGGTCGTTCTTCAGTCCGCCTCATCACCTGATAGAAATATATTTTGATTAAAATAATTAAAATATATTTTTTTTAACACTTCAGTTTAAGAATGGGATTGTTAATCAGTTTAAGATTGACATCTCGTTTGAAATTAGATATTGCACACACACTCTACCTGCTCCTGCTTCGCGAAAGTCGAGGCCAACCATTTTCTGACCTCATCCGGTACAGCCTCGCTGGTCAGCTCAGACAAATCATCCTCTATATCCTCTCTATAAAGATAAAACATTTTTAGAAATAAAGGAATGGTTCCATAGATTAGGCAGATAGTACCAAGCAATAGCCTTATAATCGTTTTACATTGAACCAGGGTGTTACTTCATAAAGAATACGGGAAACTAGTCTTTAGAAATAGCAGTTTAAGAAATCTCAAGAAAGATATTTAATGGCCTCACTGCAATGGTCCTATTATGCGTAATCTGTGACTTACAAATATTACTATCTACCTTTGTCGGTTTAACTTTCCTAATCACATCAAAACAAAATCAGGACTTTCCGAAAAAAAAATAACAGAAACACTAAACTTTGACTGTGTACATAAATGACTTTGTGACTTTGTGTAAGTGAGGAATCAATGATAAATATAACTATAACACCGAATGTCTGAAAAAAATCAAGTGACAATAGGGTAAATAAATGATTCTTAAGTCTTTTGTAAGTTTAAAAAAACTTGCCTGTAAAATTCTGGAATAAAATACTTTTCCATATTTTTACCAAACTAAATTTTTAGTTAGAAAACACGAATTACAAAAATAAAATAGGGTTAAAGATATATAAAGGACACTTTACTCCGAAGATTTCTGGTGCTCACTGCATCAAAGGTGAATACATCTACAGCCGAGGTTTATTTTACTGGTACAGGGTCTAACTAACGGGGTTGAAAAATAATTATGTTAAAAAAGACAAGAAACTATAATGTTTGTCGAAAAACATCCTAAATTGGGTAAAAATATATGCTTTTGTAAATATTCCGAAACAGGATATCTTTGTTTGAAAACAATATACAATTCACCACTTAATGTTAATACAGGTTTTCTCATAATTAGATTTCTAAGAAATTAGTAAATGACAATTTGCCATCTTCTTATTACTACTGTTTGAAAATAACTATTGGTGCCATATTTTCGTGAAAATTCCTGAATTTAACATAAATACACATTTACTTTATATTAAGAAAATGTAAGGTTGTCAGCTCATGGTTTATTGATCTATCTATCTATTTATAATCATCTACCAAAAGTATTATATGCACTATAAAAACCTTGTGTTATCAGCTTGTCTCAGATGTTCACTGAAAATGAAATTGATAATCATGTTTTGCGTTTTTATTTTCAAGCTTGTACTTTTTGGAATTATCAAGAAATATGCATTTTTTATTTTAAAACTCTCATTATCTACGTTGCTTCCTTTCCCCTCTTCTCTCCTCCGTCTCCCCCTTTTCCCTCCCCCTCCCCCTCCCCCCTTCAGTCCTGCAACCCTCTTCCCCCATAAACGTCCTGTCCTTTTTTGTTGAACCAACCCGTTTGCTTACTCTGCTTTTGCTGCTACAACTGCCAGAACTTCTCCTATGTATTGAAGCTGGTAGAGAAGATCAGAGTGTGTTATGTCCGAACTCAAACCCGCCAACAGAGCCTTTAGCCTAAATTATCTGAGATGGAATTTAAAGAATTTGAGCCGCGGTTTAAATCTGCCCAAACCCGCTTTAAATTAAGCGCCGACTTAAATCTTGAAACATTTGATACAATTTTAAGTAGAACCAACCATATTTAAGCCGCTCAAATTCTTTAAATTCGGCCACTGGATTACTTTACTATCATAAAGAATAAAGATGCTAGAAGATTATAATTATTTTCACAAAAAGAGGGACACATCCTATGTCTAAATATCAATTTTTTTCCCCTCTTGTATAGGAGACTCAAATTTTCTAATCAAAATAACTTTACACCCCGATAGCCCATTGATATTTCAAAATTAGACTATTTGTAACATCAAAGGTCTACGACATCGGGTTGCAAAGATAAAGGGATCCCAAAACAAATTTTAATTTGTGTCAAGAGTTTACATGTTTAAACATGTTTTCCTCTGACCCAACCCAACATCGATTTAGAAACCAATTTAAAATTAAATCTTAAACTTTATTATTCAGTTATCGTCAACATCTTTATGTATGATACCATTGGTTCTGGAGTGTTCAGAAGCTTCAGTAAATAATTTTAAACTGTAATTTAACATAAACAGTAATTACACAGATAAGTAGGAATATAGTTGTGAATAGAAACTTGTTTGCATAAATAGTTTTCCTTTGGCGATCTGCAAAACACGTTTTTAGCTTGGTGCAACAATATCAAACCAAGTCAAACTGTGAAGAATTAATGAATTCAAATGAGTAGGATTTAAGGTGGAAATATACAGAACTTGTTTTATGGAATCTACAAAAAATAAAAAGTTTGAAACTTCTTCCTCGTGAGCTAAACATGGAAAAGAAAAATTTGTCAAATCAAATTGAAAAAAAGTATGTAATATGGCTAATTTATAGATTTCTGTATAAATACTTGGCGTTTTAATAGTTGAGTTTTTTTTTTAATAATTATGAAGGATAAATAGATTATTGGATTGAATAGTCATCTAGAAAACAAATGCGTAGATACATGTTAAAGAATACCTATAGGACACAATCTTATTATTAGAAAGATATTTTACCTAAGATTAGCTTCTCGACAGGCCAGCGGTGAGTCTGGGGTTGGGAGTCCATCCAATCTATTCCCTTCTCCCCTTCCACCCCCTCCTACTCCACCTTCCCCTCCTACTCCTCCTTCTCCTTCTGCAGGGTTAGAGTAGACTGAACTAAAATCCTCTGGAGAATACGTAAATTAAAAAATGTATTTTTTCCGATTTGTTCAAAAGTTTTGGTTTGAGTTTAAGTTTTTTAAATTCATAGTTTAGAAGTTAGGAGTTAGTTAATATTGATAGTTGATATCGATACTTTCTGTCAAAAAGTAATACAAATAAAAATATACGGCAACATCCCGAAGCAATATGATCTTAAAAATCCGAACTCATTTATTGTTTAAAACATTAATGTTTAAGGCTCCAATGCTTTTCAAGAATAAAGATACAGAATGGCTAATTATAATAATAAAGATATTTCTTTCTTTATAATAAAGATCTTTAAGAATATTTCTAAAATAATTCAATTCTACTACCCCTCCCCCCCCTTCCATACCTAACCAATTTTCTCTTCATGTAATTATGTTAGAGGAAAGGAAGAGATAGAGAGATGAACTAAAAGCTAATGAAAACTTATTCTCTTCTTATGTATGTAAACATTACACACACCTTATACTAAAATTAATAATAAAAAAAGAAATGAATTATTTCTATATTTTATTCGGAAGTAAACAGAAAATGCTAAAGGGAAACTACAAAAAAACTCCAGTCATATTATCTCTTTTTTATTACAAAGTGTTAGTAATGAAACAATTTTTTGATTAAACTCTGAAAACCGACTGTGGACCTTTATCCCCAATATTTAGGGTTTTGTTAACTTTCCTAAACAATTAGTCCATCAGCATTCTAAACTCTAACCTTTCTCTGGGCGTGATTGGACAGAAGAACATTACAATAATATTAGCAAAATCTTTACACTTTAACTTATTTTTGCATTTTATACCAAAGTTTCCATTTCCCTAACCAAAGAAATCATATATTCTCCCTCATCTACTTTTGACCCGTCCGTCCCCTCTTTCCTTGTCCTTGTACACTGTTAATGTAATTTCAAGCAACCCTCCATGCAAAGATGCCAATTCCCAATGGTACCCTTATACGCTTTTTCTACTCAAGTATGAATTAGATATCAAGGTTTATAACTTTTAAAACCGATTATTTTAATTGTGGTTTCTCTACAAAAGTGATATACGCATTTATATACTGCAGGAAAACATATAGAAATTATCAGAATGAAACACTAGAAATACGACAATACCCTCCATATTATTGATCAGATAAAAGTTTTCAGGGTACAATTGTGAATCAGGCATTGCCATCTTTGCATGGAATTACGCTTACAAAACCTTTAACCCCTCTTCCTTTTCCCTATAAAAGATCTCCCAAACTCTATATTCTTATTAAAGAAACCATGATCCCTCTCGTCTTTTTTTACCAAAGAAAACCCCCACCCCCTCCTCTTTATTCTCTTTTATGTTGTTTGACTTGTTTATTAAAGGAAACCCCACTGAGTTTCTACACTGCAGTCATAGATAAACTACGTATCTTGGACAGTGCAGCAGCAGAGAGTTTCCATTTTATCATCATTTAAGATCATAAATATAAGATCAAAAATAACAATAATGTTTATTCACCACAAACAATAATAAAAAAGGAAAGAAATATAGTTTTGGTAACATGAAAATAAATTATTTATGAATTATTTTTATTTCAACTTCTTATTCTAGGCATGAATCTGAGCCAGGTGGTGAATTTAAAAATGGAATAATTGAACAGGGTCAAATTGTTTAGTCAAGATGTTTAAAAAATTTGTAATACTGGCAAATTTAATTTTTGTCATTTTTATTATTCTATTTTTAAGTTTATTTAAAAGAATTTCTCTCGAAATATTTTTAACGTGCTTGAAAATAAAATTTCTAATAATTGTAAAATGTACAGCTAATCAGAATTTTATTTTGAAAAGCAGAAAATTGGCCGCGGACCAAATTTAATAATTTCAGATTCAGGGAGTTTGAGAAATATGCTGTAAGATATTAAGGGTTTGGAAATCTTTTACAAGGCAGATTTTATGGGGTATCTGTTACTGAGACAAATTTGTTTATTTTGATGTTAAATATAAAATTCGTTTTTACTACCTTCAGAGACATACAGTAAAATCTTTGCAATTAAAGAAGCAAGATAGATCTCATAAAGATGTGATCAAGGATAATTGCAATTTTGAATGGGATTCAGATGAACACTATTTTTAAAGGTGCAAATCGCCAAAAAGGAATTGAGTTTTTGTCACAAACTCTGATTTTCTTATCCCTATATCTTTGCATTTTAATGCCAGAGACCTTAGATATTTCAAACTACAATTATATTAGATCAAATAATAATAGTTTGAAATATCAAATGTTAGCACCATCAGGATGCAAAGATATAGCGATTTGAAAATCAAAATTTGTGGCTAAAACTCCATTCCTTCTGGGAGTAATTTTTAAAGGCCAGAGTTCAACGAATTTATCATAACTATATTTAACAAAATACCAAAATATCCCTGGGACATCTTGTAATTAAAGAACGCTAACTAGAGTTAGATAAACCCTTCAGCGCTATAAATGACTTGATATATCTATTCAATGTAATTAATTGTCAAATCATTCTTACACTGCTGCGCTATCATAATGATAATTAACAAATGAGTTTAATCTAGTTTTATTGGGTCAATACATTAATTTTAAAGGGACTGTAAGCGAAATTTCAAGGGACTCTCCAATCTCCATGCAAAGATAGCAAAACGTCCGATTTACAACGGTACCCTTGAAACCTTTATCTGATCAGAAATGTGGTAGAAACTGTCGTGTTTCTGATTCGAAAAGTGTTTATTTCTGTGAGTTTCTGCGTTTTTTCTTTTAAACAAGGAATGCGCAAGTCGTTTTCAGAAAGAAAGTGCAAATGAAAATAAATAGTTTAAAGAAACAAAAATGTTTACATCTAATTCATACTTGATCAGAAAAAGCTTTCAAAGTTGTAAATCGGACATTGACATATTTGCATGGAGGGTCACTTGAAATTGCGCTTACAGTCTCTTTAAATGCAATTCTTAGTTCTGTAATTTTTAATAAAAAGAAAATTTTAGCTTGATAAGTATAAAAGGCCAAACGAAAAAAGGATTATAGTTGGGTTCTTCGTTTTTCTCTGATAGTTGTAAACTTGTTGAGGGCAATAAAAGGAAACAAACAAGGTACATCACACAATTCTTATCTGCATAATATTCCTCATAGTTTAGAGAATCATGCGAACCCACACATTTTCAATGGGGTTTCAGTAAAAAAAGAGAAAAAATCAAGAAAAGCAGTTTACCTTGGTTCTGACTATCTGAGGGTTGTGAGGATGGATTTGGACTGATGGAGTTTTTCTTCCATCTTCCTGATCTACGGATAACCCTGAATGCTCCAACGGAGTTTTCCTCTGAAAAGAAGAAGTATATTGCAATATAACTATAATTAGCTTACCGATTTATTGAAGCTATCCTGATTCTGTTAAATTGAACCTATCCTGATCCTGTTTATCCGTCTTTCTAACCAAATGTTAAGATCTAATCAGATATAATAATTCCAACCTAATAGATCGATCTAACCTGATAAATTGATATATTCTGATCCTGTTTATCCGTTCAATTCAACTAACCTGATAAAATTATCCCACCCTGAGCCTGTTTATCCGTCCTTCTAATCATAGATCTAACCTAATAAAATGATCCCACCCTGATCCTGCTTATCCGTCCTTCTAATCATAGATCTAACCCAATAAAATGATCCCACCCTGATCCTGCTTTTCCGTCCTTCTAATCATAGATCTAACCTAATAAAATGATCCCACCCTGATCCTGCTTATCCTTCCTTCTAATCATAGATCTAACCTATTAAAATGATCCCACCCTGATCCTGCTTTTCCATCCTTCTAATCATAGATCTAACCTAATAAAATGATCCCACCCTGATCCTGCTTATCCGTCCTTCTAATCATAGATCTAACCTGATAGGATGAACCCACCCTGATCCTGCTTATCCGTCCTTCTAATCATAGATCTAACCTATTAAAATGATCCCACCCTGAGCCTGTTTATCCGTCCTTTAACTTAATTAATAAATCTAACCTGATAAGTTGATTCCACCCTGAGCCTGTTTATCCGTCCTTCTACTCATAGATCTAACCTAATAAAATGATCCCACCCTGATCCTGCTTATCCGTTCTTCTAATCATAGATCTAACCTAATAAAATGATCCCACCCTACCCTGAGCCTGCTTATCCGTCCTTCTAATCATAGATCTAACCTGATAGGATGATCCCACCCTGATCCTGCTTATCCGTCCTTCTAATCATAGATCTAACCTATTAAAATGATCCCAACCTGATCCTGTTTATCCATCCTTTAACTTAATTAATAAATCTAACCTGATAAGTTGATTCCACCCTGAGCCTGTTTATCCGTCCTTCTACTCATAGATCTAACCTATTAAAATGATCCCACCCTGATCCTGCTCATCCACCCTTCTAATCATAGATCTAACCTATTAAAATGATCCCACCCTGATCCTGCTTATCCGTCCTTCTAATCATAGATCTAACCTCATAGGATGATCCCACCCTGATCCTGATTATCCGTCCTTCTAATCTAGATATAACATAATAAAACGATCCCACCCTGATCCTGTTTATCCGTCCTTTAACTTAATTAATAAATCTAACCTGATAAGTTGATTCCACCCTGAGCCTGTTTATCCGTCCTTCTAATAATAGATCTAACCTAATAAAATGATCCCACCCTGATCCTGCTTATCCGTCCTTCTAATCATAGATCTAACCTAATAAAATGATCCCACCCTGACCCTGCTTATCCATCCTTCTAATCATAGATCTAACCTATTAAAATGATCCCACCCTGATCCTGCTTATCCGTCCTTCTAATCATAGATCTAACCTGATAAAATGATCCTACCCTGAGCCTGCTTATCCGTCCTTCTAATCATAAATCTAACCTATTAAAATGATCCCACCCTGATCCTGCTTATCCGTCCTTCTAATCATAGATCTAACCTATTAAAATGATCCGACCCTGATCCTGCTTATCCGTCCTTCTAATCATAGATCTAACCTAATAAAATGATCCCACCCTGACCCTGCTTATCCGTCCTTCTAATCATAGATCTAACCTATTAAAATGATCCCACCCTGATCCTGATTATCCGTCCTTCTAATCATAGATCTAACCTCATAGGATGATCCCACCCTGATCCTGATTATCCGTCCTTCTAATCTAGATATAACATAATAAAACGATCCCACCCTGATCCTGTTTATCCGTTCTTTAACTTAATTAATATATCTAACCTGATAAGTTGATTCCATCCTGATCCTGTTTATCCGTCCCGGCAACTCCGACTAAAATAAAAGTAAAGTAGTTTTTCTTAAATTTTAAATACAAAACATATTCTAAATATGTTTAGTTGTGTTTCTCAGATAAATGTACTGCGACTGTACTGAATTACCCATACTGCTACTGAAAACAAATGGGCAAAGTTTAAGGTTAAATGTAAAAGTTTATGCTTTCCTCTCTAACAAAGATACAATCAGACCACAGTCTAACTTTGAACTCAAGGAAAATAATGTAAAAATAGATGGTAGCTCGAGCAGTGGTATTTTAAATTACACGTCCTTATTTTAAATTGCAATTTTTGATTCCGTTTATTTTTAATTTAATATTGATAAACTATTCTAAAGTTCTGCGTGTTTAAAAAATCGTCTAAAACTGCAGAACTGCTGATCTAATTCTATACTGGAGATTATACACATAAAATAGGAAGAAATGGAAATGGAAACTATAAAATAAGGTGATATATATGGGGAGTGAAAAATCAGGGGACGTTCTTTCAATAGAAATAGAAGTGTATTAAAGAAATTAAATACCATAAATATAAATAAAAATGGTCATTAAACTAAAGCAATTTGTTAATTTGATTTCTAATTACATCTATAGAAGCAGGATTTATTTGGAGCTCGTCTCCCACGGAAAATAAAAAATATTTGTAGAAAAAAGTACTGTTGTAGAGTTGGGCTTAGGAACCTTTTCTTTTCATTGATCATGAAGAGAGGTGAACTTATGTAAAATTAGATATATTAGGAAATGATTATATAAAGATAATAAAAAATATGAGATTTTACATGCATAGTATAAAGTATAGAAGTATAAATAGATAGATAGTATTAAATATAGACACTAGATAGAACGATAGAACTGCGTGAGACGAATGTATAATCCTTAAATATTCCCAGTATGACGGAACCAATCATAATTTACATTTATATACACACATTGTATAAAATACAAATGTTTTCTAACAGACAAACAGACAAGCCAAATTTATATATAGATGTATCGTGCTACAACAATTTTAAATTAAGTTTGCCCTATATTTCATAGGAACCTTATATATATATATACATACATACATACATGTATATTCATAAAATAAATGAATTTAGTATTCCAAATGAACTTTAATGGATGCACTTGTAATATTGTCATGAATAAATTAATCAAAAGATTTTATTTGTGAGTAAAAGTTTTAGTTTTTCGTATTTGGGGAGCAGGAATATTATAAACTGGATCAAAAATAGAAATAATTGCATTTTAACTAATGCATTCTGGATATGTTTTCTTGGAACAAAACTGGTGCATCCTGGACTTGGGTTACTCTATCCTGGACTTGGACTACTCTATCTTGGACTTGGGCTACTCTATCCTGAACTTGGGCTACTCTATCCTGGACTTGGACTACTCTATCCTGGACTTGGGCTACTCTATCCTGGACTTGGGCTACTCTATCCTGGACTTGGACTTCTCTATCCTGGACTGAGACTACTCTATTCTGGACTGAGACTACTATGTCCTGGACTGATATTTATCTATACTGGACTAAGACTACCTTATCCTGGACTGAGACCACTCTATCCTGGACTGAGACTACTCAATCCTGGACTGAAACTACTCTATCCTAGACTGAGACAACGGTATCCTGGACTGAAATTACTCTATCCTGGAATGAAACTACTCAGTCCTGGGCTAAGACTACTCTATCCTGGACTGAGACAACTTTATCCTGGACTGAGACAACGGTATCCTGGACTGGAACTACTCTATCCTGGACTGAGACTACTCTGTCTTGGACTGAGACTACTTTGTCCTGGGCTGAGACTACTCTGTCCTGGGCTGAGGCTAGTCTATCCTGAACCGGGACTACTCTATTCCGCGGACCGGGACTACTCTATCCTGAATTGGACAAGAACTATTATATAAATATATATAATATATATATACATTCTTTTGAAAAACGTTAGAGCATTCTAGAGCCCATAAAAGATAAATTTGAAGTAAAGAAATGACAACCCTTGAATTTGTATTATTGAATCCAGGACAAACACCCTCGTATTTTGGTACCAGACTTGGTTGGTTCATTCAGCACATGTATCACTTGGATCTATCTATTGTAGAATAGGACAGTGTGGGAAGATGAATGAGTAGGCTGCCATTTTTAAGAATGTAAGATATATGAGAAGGAAAATCTTCGCAGAGTTAAAAATTGGATGAAGTGAAGATAGATAGTTAGATGGTTTGATGGTTAGATTAATAGATAGATAGATAGATAGATAGATAGATAGATAGATAGATAGATAGATAGATAGATAGATAGATAGATGTTGAAGGTTGTTAAGAAAAGATATGAAGTGGGTTGGAGGATCTTGTGTCGTGTTGGAACCTATCTTGTCCAGGATGGATACTCATAAACTCAGAAAATGGCTTCACTAAACCTTCACTAAACCTTAACTACCAATCTCAGTAAAACTTAGCAACTAAACATGAACAACACGTCTTTATTCAATATTGAGAAAACCCTAGCAACGAATTTGATACGGTTTGTGCAGGCTAATCGTAGATCCTAATTTCAACTCTTGACCAGAACTTTGCAATAAACTTGATACGAGATTCTTATTTTAACTCTTGACCAAAATCTTTCAATAAACTTGTTACCAAATACTAATTTAAACTTTTGACCAAAACTTTTTATAAACTTGTTACCAAATTCTAATTTTAACTTTTACAAGAACCTTTTATTAAACTTGTTACCAGATTCTAATTTCAACTCTTGACAAGAACTTTGTAATAAACTTGTTACCAGATTCTAATTTTAACTCTTGACCAGAACTTTGCAATAAACTTGTTACCAAATCCTAATTTTAACTCTTTACAAGAACCTTTTATTAAACTTGTTACCAGATTCTAATTTCAACTCTTGACCAGAACTTTGCAATAAACTTGTTACCAAATCCTAATTTTAACTCTTTACCTGAACCTTTCTATAAACTTGTTACCAAATCTTTTCAATAAACTTGTTACCAGATTCTAATTTTAATCTTGACCAAAACCTTTCAATAAATTTGTTACCAGATTCTAATTTTAACTATTGACCAGAACTTTTAAATTCATATGTTACGATCGATCCTTATTTAAACTCTTTAATAGACCCTAATTCAAACTCTTCACCAGTTCCTAATTTTAGTGTTTTACCAGAACCTCTCCAAAACTCTTTTCCAAAACCTAGCCTAAATTTTAAACCGGAACTAAACCTAAACTGTTTACCAGAACTCTAAATTCCGTAGAGTGCTCAGAAAAATGAACTAAATTCACAGGAATGTATTATAAGCATTTCAAACGGAACTATATAAACTGACCGATTTATATATGGGCTATATCAACTATTATCTATTTGTTTGTATTTATGGATCTACTTTGTTATATTGTACTATCTAAAGTTGGATAAAACAAGAGATTTCTCTCAATTAATGGAATTTGTGGTTCTTAAAAACTAATTAAAATAATTTTTCTTTCTCTCTAATTATCAATCTATCCATCTGTAATCTTTCTCTGTATATAAATCTGTATAAGGGTGGATAATGTTTGATTTTTTAGTTCTGTCAACAAACAACCTTGAAATTTATCCTAATGTATTTAACACCAACCCCTCCGCCCCCCCCCCCTGCCCCGACATATGGCCACTGATTTGAACCTCAATTATGCCCCTCCCTGTCTGCTTCCATGTACTTCCTCTCTATTTTTTAAATCTTGGAATATGCGTTAAAATAAACTAACAAAGACCCTTTAAATATAACATAACCCCTTCTCCCATCAATTAACACAATATATCCCCCAAAGTTACCCCTCATTTCTATACCAATGTCCTTCCCTCCCTGTCAACTCATTCTAATCCTGGGTTTACTGAAAAATCGTGACTTTCAGGCCATACCAGCCTACTAAAACAAACTAAATTTAATTTAGGGCAGAACTGGATAGGTTCTGAAACGACATGGTTGGATATGATAGAATAGGATAAGATATAAAGGGACAGGATGGCATAGAATAGGATAGGGTAAATTGGGCCAGGATAGGATAGGATAGGACTGAACAGGACTTAATGTGATAGGAAAAGATATGTTGAGATTTGATATGATAAAACGGGTTTGGAGGGCATAGGATATACTGACTTGTGATGATATTACATTTATTTTGTACGTAAAACTAAAAAACTAAGTTTTCGCCACAAACTCATATTTGTTAATCCTTATATTTTGAAACCTTTGACCATGAATTCTGTCAGATCAAATAGTCAAATGATTACACCATCAGGTTGAAAAGATATATGGATAGGAAAAGGTTTTGAGTTTGTGTCAAAAACTTCGTTCCTTTATGCACATAATTAGAACTGAGTTGTTTATGCAAATTCCAGGCATATTTTGTAAACCAGGGCCAAAAACTCATTCTCATCCAACGACTGTGAACAAAGATTGGAGAAACCCCCAACATATACGCGACGGTGTTTGGATAAAAAGTACCAGATTATGTGTGAAATAATATTCAAGGTTCTAGGTCAAATAAAAGCCTAGGGCAGGTTTAGAGGTCAACTGTTGCAATACTACTCCTAGAGCATCATACATATATATTCGAATACAAAATTAGAATTTAAAAAAAATTGTTGTTTCTTGAAATTTCGATCGAAATTCTTCTCCGATTCGTTTATTAAATATCAATTTTTTTTTTATTCCAAAGTAGTCTTCCCTAAAAACATATTTTGATTAATAATCTGAATGTTTGGTAAAAGATTCATTATTGTATCAACGCATGTTTAATGTATTTACGAAAACTAAACAATATAAGGAATGGAAAAAAAAATTCAACAACCTAATCAAATTCAACAAGGTCCTCTCATATCTGTAACACCCCCTAATATCTGTAATATCCTCTGATATCTGTTTTATCTCCTGATATCTGTAATATCTCCTGATATCTGTAATATCCCCTGATATCTGTGATATCCCCTAATATCTGTAATATCCTCTGATATCTTTGATATCTCCTGATATCTGTGATATCACCTGATATCTGTGATATCCTCTGATATCTGTGATATCACCTGATATCTGTGATATCACCTGATATCACAGATATCACCTGATATCTGTGATATCACCTGATATCACAGATATCACCTGATATCACAGATATCACCTGATATCTGTGATATCACCTGATATCTGTGATATCTCCTGATATTTGTGATATCCCCTGATATCTGTAATATACCCTAATATCTGTAATATCCGCTGATATCTGTAATATCCCCCGATATATGTAATATCCCCTGATATCTGTGATATCCCGTAATATCTGTGATATCCTCTGATATCTGTAATATCTCCTGATTTCTGTGATATCTCCTGATATCTGTAATATCCTCTGATATCTGTAATATCCCCTGATATCTGTGATATCCCCTAATATCAGTAATATCCCCTAATATCTGTAATATCCTCTGATATCTGTGATATCTCCTGATATCTGTGATATCACCTGATATCTGTGATATCCTCTGATATCTGTGATATCACCTGATATCTGTGATATCCTCTGATATCTGTGATATCCCCTGATATCTGTGATATCCCCTGATATCTGTGATATCCCCTGATATCTGTGATATCCCGTAATATTTGTGATATCCTCTGATATCTGTAATATCTCCTGATATCTGTGATATCTCCTGATATCTGTAATATACCCTGATATCTGTAATATCCCCTGATATATGTGATATCTCCTGATATTTGTAATTTTCCCTAATATCTGTGATATCCCCTGATATCTGTGATATCCCCTGATATATGTAATATCTCCTGATATTTGTAATATTCCCTAATATCTGTGATATCCCCTGATATCTGTGATATCCCCTGATATATGTTATATCTCCTGATATTTGTAATATCCCCTAATATCTGTGATATCCCCTGATATCTGTGATATCCCCTGATATATGTTATATATCCTGATATTTGTAATATCCCCTAATATCTGTGATATCCCCTGATATCTGTGATATCCCCTGATAAATGTAATATCTCCTGATATTTGTAATATCCCCTAATATCTGTGATATCCCGTAATATCTGTAATATATGATATCTGTGATATCTCCTGATATCTGTAATATCCCCTGATATCTGTGATATCCCCTGATATATGTAATATCTCCTGATATTTGTAATATCCCCTGATATCTGTAATATCCCCTGATATCTGTGATATCCCTTGATATCTATGATATCAACTGATATCTGTGATATCACCTAATATCTGTGATATTTCCTGATATCTGTGATATCTCCTGATATATGTAATATCTCCTGATATTTGTAATATTCCCTAATATCTGTGATATCCTGTAATATCTGTGATATCCTCTGATATCTGTAATATACCCTGATATCTGTAATATCCCCTGATATATGTAATATCTCCTGATATTTGTAATATCCCCTAATATCTGTGATATCCCGTAATATCTGTGATATCCTCTGATATCTGTAATATCTCCTGATTTCTGTATATCCCCTGATATATGTAATATCTCCTGATATTTGTAATATCCCCTAATATCTGTGATATCCACTAATATCTCTATAAATCTCATTATCTGTCTCCTAAATAAATTCCCATCTTTTAAAGAAAATTACATCACCTAATATGTCAAAATATATTCCCTTAAATGCCCCGTAATATTCCTTGCACATCCCATTCCTGACAATACTACAAATGATTGATGTGAACAGTGTGAGTTGCCTACCTATTGTATAAGTATCTTCGCCTAAAGATATTTTGGTTAAGTTTTGAAATTTTGGTTTTAGGAACTGGTTTCCTTTGCCATCCACAACCTTGCATGGTTTTGTTCTTTCCTCCTGGGTGGATAGATTTGTTGACGGAGCTGGGTTAGGGTTGGACGCGTTACTCTCGGTCTCATCCATCTTTTTGGTACACTTGGTAAATATATTCTGTAAATTGTTACATTTCATCTATTCATGCACTAACTAACAGGGATAGCTCAGTACACACTAACAACCTTGTGGGCCTTTTATTACATCACTATGCACGCACATGAGAGGAGAACAAAATTTCACTTTTCTGAATTGTGTTTCTAAATCCTAGAATGCCTTGAATGCAGAGAATGAGAGCGAATGTGCACGCAACAACCTTCCTCTTTCATATTCCTGAATCTGAAACTAAACATATATTATTCAAATATGATTTTACAATACGCTCCCCAGATAACAGGTGTGCATGTTCAGCTACATAAACTGTTGAGTAGTTGCAGGGAGGGGGGAGTTCATTTTATGCCTCTAAGGGACATTAAAAGGTGGTTAGCTCGGGGATAAGGTTAAGCTTTAATCGCAGGCGTTCAAATTACAACTTCAAAATGTGAAATCCTGTTGCGACCTAGACCAAGGATATTATATAGAGAATCTGAATGTATAAACTATATTTATGCTGTGAGAAATTAACCACAGTTTAAAATCTCACACTAATTTTATAAAATGAAATATATTTCTCAAGTTTTATTTCTTGCAACTTACAAGTTGAAATAAGGCCAATGACGTAATGAACGATTGATTACAAAAGTTTAACTGGCTGGTATTCAGGAAATGTCATCAACTAATTACTATTTAACACTTTGCTAAAAGTTTAAAGGCTATCGCATTTACATAATGCTTAAATTTCTACTGTCTAGTGTCTATGCTAGAAAGGTAAAAAGAAATTACATAAATGGAGGGCATTGAATCAAACATTAAAATATTACATTAAAAACAATTTTAATTGTCAAAAAGCAATCAATAAATTAAAAATTCAATTCCCCATCCAAGAAACGATAATATGGTCGTTGAGGTGGCTTTTGTCTTGTTCGTCCGTACGCCTTTGTTTTAGATAGCAAATATAAATATTGATTTTTTTTCTTTCCCACTTATATTGTTATCTTGTATTGGTTCTTATTCATACCACCGATAACACCGAATGTACATACACGTCGTTTTTTATTAATAAAACTTTTAATATTTCAAAAATGTATTATGTTATATTATATTATAGGTTGTTTTTAGGTCGTTATTTGCATATATCCTCTGTCAGAGTCAAAATGTGACATAGTTTAAAAATCAAATGTTTAAAATAAACTATGCAAAATTTGACCCTCTGAAAGACAATAAAGGCAAGAAAACGACCCGAAAACGAAGCAAAGTTAAAAAAGTTTAAAAATCTGTGTTTTGGATAAATAACTATGATAATAATATTTATGTACATGTTGTAGAGAGATTGTCCCTGGGGGAAAATAATCTAAATGAGAAATATGTTTCCAATTTGAAAACTCTGAAATATATACCATCTTAAAATCAATTACATAACAGTTTGCAATATACAGATCTGAGATAAGTCCCGAAATTCTTGACATTTTACAATCAGTTGCAGTGTTTTAAATTATCTTTACATTTGTTTTTTTTCATTTCTAAACCCTGCTTTGAGGTTTAAGTTATCTCTGTATCTAGAAGTGTATAAGCTGGACGTTTTTAATGGACTAAGAAGACATTATTAGTCGTGTAGACTATAACAAATGGTACATTAGTTGAGACAGGTTTAATAAACTGTCAGGATTGAAGTTTTTCTTTGTGTATGTATATTATATATATATTATATTAGTTCTGGACCCGCCCTTACTGATAAATGTAACTAGATATAAATGTCTCGATACTATCAGATTTCTTTTCACCAATCAAAACCCTTTCATCGTATCTCCTTTATATTCGGGATTTCAAATACTTGCCAATGTACAATAAACTTTGATTTTAGTATCTAAACCAGCCAGATTCCAATTTAATATTTTTTAATTTAAAAAAATACGATTGCTATAATTATTAAGATGGATATTTAAAGGGTACCGTTGTAAATCGAACAGAGCACTTTTTCAACAGAGAATCAGTATTCAGTATATAAGTTTAGAATAATTGTAGTTTCTTCTGAATAAAAACAGGTAGATATTTAACTAAAATACATATTGATAAATATTTCTATGCATTCTCCGCAACCCAACCCTGTAGTTTCTATAAAATTAAATTGATTACAAATAAGATATTTCAAAATAATTCATTCAAAAATTTACGAAATGGTATAGATATTTTAACTGATCTATAAAGTGTAAACACAAATATAGGAAATATAAGCGGCTTCAAACCTTACTTAACGGCTATATTGGTCAACCCGATTAAAATATGGTTTAAATGTTTTTCAGTTCGCTTTTTTAGCTAGTCGGCGACTATCAGACGAAATTATCATCCCTTTCGGATTGACTATACCTCGGGTTGACCTTTGTTTGAAGGTTTAAGAGCTAATAAATGAAAATAAATGAATAAAACCCAGAGTTGTAAAATCTATCTGGAGAGAGAAGGATAGAGGGAGAGAACTCGTCAGCAGAGAAACAGCTGAGCAAAACCAACCGTCTAGATTCTTAATTATTAATGAAAAATAAATCACTATCATACATAAAGAATTAATTTTAATCCTCCGAAAATTTAGAAATTTTAGTATTAAATAGAGTTTTGTGAAGACGATATATGCATAAATGATCTCTCTCTGCGCGATTTTATGAAAGACTAGCTTGGAAACCCAGCTTTAACTGGAAGCTGTACTTTCCCTAAAAACTGAACTTAGCATCTTAAAACTTAGCTAATAACACTTCTATGGTTCTTCCGAGTTCCACTATCAAAATTTGAGGCAAATCGGTTAAAGGGTTCCTAAGTTCGGACAAACAAACAAACAAACAACAATAAAATTCAATACAAAATAAGATGTAATTCATAAAATTTAAAAGAAAATTTAATAAAGTTTTTCAAAGACGGGTAAGAGTTAATTCTATCGGCAGGGTTTTTTTTAGAACAAGTTCGACTTGTTTAAAAATTCTATCAGAGCTCGGTTTAAAACTTTGTATAAATTTGGTTTGGATTACCACATTTTTATTTTATTGATTCACACTGATATTGAAATTGAACCAGGGGAGTAGGTTTCATTTTTACGAAATAAACACGCAATCATTAGAACGTTAACTTTCTCCCCCCACCCCCACCCACTCCTACATTTCCCTATCCTCCCTCTCCCCCTTCACCTTCCTGATGCTTTGTCTGTACTCCTGTTCTCTTTTTACAAGAGATATTAATTATCAGTAAACATAGAATTATCTATCCGTTTCTCATCTGATCGGCAATCAGAGATCATTAAAGATCAATTAATGTCTATAAATGTACATACGTGTTCACACGTCTCAATTATAATATTGCTGCAACAAATATTAATAAACTAATAATTACATTTTAAGATATTCACAATAACTATCTCGTTTATATTTAATCAAATTATAAAAATCTGAAAAACAATTTGTTTCAAATGCCATTTCAATTAATTCGTATTTCGTAAAGAATTATGAACCTGTAAAATGAACCTGTTCCTATGAAAATAAATCAGTAAACCACAAAAGGTAGTTTCCATTTATATATATTCATATTTTTTTCATAAACATGGAGTCAAATGTATAAACGTAACTAGATGAAACATATTTTAAGAAATGCAAAGTCCGAGAATTTATTAAACTAAAAAAGGAAAAGTTTTATTTTTATTTTGAATATTTGAAAGGAGCAAACTAAACAGTATTTTGCGTAGAAAGCAGACGAAATTAAATGTGTGAAGTAGAGATTGATTTGAACATCAATTAATTACTATGGCCCGGCAGCGTATATATATATATATATATATATATATATATATTACTTTTAATAAAATCATTCCGTAAACTGTGAAGGACTCTTTCAATTTATTATCAAGGGATTATTCAAAGATTTAAAATTAACTAAAATGAATTAAATAGAGAGAGGATAATTTTTTATAAACTTTTATTTCTCAAATTTTTTAATGGAAATTAGACTGTCAATGTAATTTTTAGTGGCCTTTAATTTAAAAGAAAGCCTGATTCACAACGATACATTTAAACCATTATTTGATTAATACTGTCCTCGTTTTTCTACCTTTCTAGAGTTAAGCATTTTGAGAAAAGTAAAATTTTGCACATTTTCTTTTTGATAAAAATTAAAACAAATCAAAAATGTCACAAAAATGTGTATAATTCTGAATATTTCATTCTATGTTTCTGAGGCAGAAATGCACAAGTCATATTACAGAGAAACAGAAATAAAAATGATCATATTTCCCAGAGAACATGATGAATATCTTATGCATTCCTGATGAGAGAATGTTTTTAAGGGTACAGGCATTAATCGGAAATGAAACTCTTTAAATGAAGGATCACTTAAAAGTACGTTAAATCCCCTTAACTAATAGATTTACTTAGAAAATTTAAATTGTTTAGAATTATTTGAGATTTGTGAGTGTTTTGGTTAATGTCGATACACAGAGCTGAAGTGTATGTATACAATGCATATCAATATTCACTATTTAGATATGCTTTATGCATGTATAATGTATATATAGTAAGAAACACAGAGAAAGGAAAGCGCTGTTTACGGTTTTCACTTATTTTTATATTTGTATGGGTTCTCAACGCCAAGCTGTTTTAAGTACGTTACAATATTTACCTTGTGCGATTTGAGTTTTAAATTAAAATCAAGAATTAATTGGTGTTTTTAGATCTGTATTTGTATTTGATGAGATGTGAATGGTTGGTGTAGTGTGAACGTGTTGTGTGTAAAGAGGCTGGATCATGTGTGTGTTTGGTGTGCCTAGTATCAAGGATTCAATACAACTGTCCGAGGAAGGAAAGAGAGCGTGGGACTTCAACCAAATCAGGAGCTCAGCGGGAGAAACATTCTGTCCTCTTTCTGTCCTCATCCGGTCCTCTTCCTGTCCTCATCCTGTCCTTATCCTGTCCTCATCCTGTCCTCATCCTGTCCTCATCCTGTCCTCATCCGGTCCTCTTCCTGTCCTCATCCTGTCCTTATCCTGTCCTCATCCTGTCCTCATCCTGTCCTCTCCCTGTTCTCTTCCTGTCCTCATTCTTTATTCGTCCTTTCCTTATCCTGTACTGATTGTGCACTCATGATATCCTAATTCCGTCTTTGATCTGTTCATATCATGCCCTCATTCTGTCCTCGATCTTCCCTATTCCTAATCCTGTCCTTATCCCATACTAACCCTGTCCTAATGCTGTCCTCATCATATGCCTACCAT